TGTTATCTCTATCTTTATCTTCTGTTCTCATGAGTCGCGGAGTGGTAGTTGGGGGCACAGTGATGTTCTCTGTTGCAATCTGAATATTATGCTTCTTCTTGTCAATCTGGAGGGGTCCTCCATTTGTCTTCCCAATTTCTTTAAGGTTTACACTGTCATTAGGGTGGTTGGTCTGAAGATTTTGCAGTTTTTGTGGTACTGAGGCTGAGTAGTAGGAGAACATTTCAACTATAAACACTAGCAGTAGCAACATTACCGTCACCACGCAGATCATTCTCTTAGTCTTCAACAGTCGCAGTTTCATCTTTTAACATCAACTGCTGGGAAACGAAACGTTACATCACCACCTTTTTAGATTTGTGGTAAATGGTTTAGTAAGTGTAGCATTTCAACTATGCTAATTAACAAAATTAGTAAAAAATAAACTAGCAACGTTAAAGTGCTCTACTTTTTAGTCGTTACGAATACGGAGCCTTTCAAATAAATAATTTATTCCCAAATTATCTTGGGTTTGTGGACCTCCTACATCTAGACACTTAAAGATGATGTTAGTATCACCCGCTACTTTATTTCAGCTCACATTTACTGAGATGTAAGCAGTATGTAGTACTGTTACTGGTGTGTACATTACAGGATTACAACTTGATTGAAATGTTGAAAAATAGGCAACTTTTAAAGTTCTATGACCACTGTTAACTTTTAACATGGTGTAGTCTACATAGCTGCACAGTGCACACGTGCCATGCATAACATAAGTCGATGCTTGCTGTTTAGAAAAGGTTCACAGCTCGATCAAAACAACTGAACCTAGCACACAATCCTACAAGTAAAATGTCCACCGAAGATACGCTTGTTAATTAAAAAACAGTAAATTAACCTCAGACGGCCGGAAATTAAAATACCCAGCCCGGAACATAAGTGAGTTCCGTTTAGTAGTTCTGAGATCCTGCTTACATTTAATAGTATAATTAAGCACGGGTGTTTCATTTTATTACCATTTCATCAGTTGGGTGGCTAGACCCGGATGGTGTGAAGTTGTGAAGTGGTCATTAAAAAGTCAAGTGATCGTCCGAAATTTGTGGGCAATTGTCTGTTTATATTAGCAGTATGTGGTTCTTTTGGCTCCGTGAGGAGTGAGAGTTGAAATTGGATATGGCGTGCTTTGAGTATGTTGTCGGTTATTATTTATTTGGCTGGAATAATGGTTGGATCACATTTGTATCAAAGTTTCGATTTTATGGTTACGATCTGAAAGGGGTGTAAGTGCTGAAAGAGGTGCGTGTGTGTGCTTAAAGAGGTGCGTGTGTGCTGAAAGAGATGTGAGTGCTGAAAGGGGTGTAAGTGCTGAAAGAGGTGCGTGTGTGTGCTGAAAGAGATGTGAGTGCTGAAAGGGGTGTAAGTGCTGAAAGAGGTGCGTGTGTGTGCTTAAAGAGATGTGAGTGCTGAAAGGGGTGTAAGTGCTGAAAGAGGTGCGTGTGTGTGCTGAAAGAGATGTGAGTGCTGAAAGGGGTGTAAGTGCTGAAAGGGGTGTGAGTTCTGAAAGGGGTGTGAGTGCTTAAAGAGATGTGAGTGCTGAAAGGGGTGTAAGTGCTGAAAGAGGTGCGTGTGTGTGCTGAAAGAGATGTGAGTGCTGAAAGGGGTGTAAGTGCTGAAAGAGGTGCGTGTGTGTGCTTAAAGAGATGTGAGTGCTGAAAGGGGTGTAAGTGCTGAAAGAGATGTGAGTGCTGAAAGAGGTGTGAGTGCTGAAAAAGGTGTGAGTGCTGAAAGAGGTGTGAGTGCTGAAAGAGGTGTGAGTGCTGAAAGGGGTGTGAGTGTTGAAAGAGATGTGAGTGCTGAAAGGGGTGTGAGTGCTGAAAGAGGTGCGTGTGTGTGCTTAAAGAGGTGCGTGTGTGCTGAAAGAGATGTGAGTGCTGAAAGGGGTGTAAGTGCTGAAAGAGGTGCGTGTGTGTGCTGAAAGAGATGTGAGTGCTGAAAGGGGTGTAAGTGCTGAAAGGGGTGTGAGTGCTGAAAGAGGTGTGAGTGCTGAAAAAGGTGTGAGTGCTGAAAGAGGTGTGAGTGCTGAAAGAGGTGTGAGTGCTGAAAGGGGTGTGAGTGTTGAAAGAGATGTGAGTGCTGAAAGGGGTGTGAGTGCTGAAAGAGGTGCGTGTGTGTGCTTAAAGAGGTGCGTGTGTGCTGAAAGAGATGTGAGTGCTGAAAGAGGTGTGAGTGCTGAAAGGGGTGTGAGTGCTGAAAGAGATGTGAGTGCTGAAAGAGATGTGAGTGCTGAAAGAGGTGTGAGTGCTGAAAGGGGTGTGAGTGTTGAAAGAGATGTGAGTGCTGAAAGGGGTGTGAGTGCTGAAAGAGGTGCGTGTGTGTGCTTAAAGAGGTGCGTGTGTGCTGAAAGAGATGTGAGTGCTGAAAGAGGTGTGAGTGCTGAAAGAGGTGCGTGTGTGTGCTGAAAGAGATGTGAGTGCTGAAAGGGGTGTAAGTGCTGAAAGAGGTGCGTGTGTGTGCTTAAAGAGATGTGAGTGCTGAAAGGGGTGTAAGTGCTGAAAGAGGTGCGTGTGTGTGCTGAAAGAGATGTGAGTGCTGAAAGGGGTGTAAGTGCTGAAAGGGGTGTGAGTGCTGAAAGAGGTGTGAGTGCTGAAAAAGGTGTGAGTGCTGAAAAAGGTGTGAGTGCTGAAAGAGGTGTGAGTGCTGAAAGAGGTGTGAGTGTTGAAAGAGATGTGAGTGCTGAAAGGGGTGTGAGTGCTGAAAGAGGTGTGTGTGCTGAAAGAGATGTGAGTGCTGAAAGAGGTGTGAGTGCTGAAAGAGGTGCGTGTGTGTGCTGAAAGAGATGTGAGTGCTGAAAGGGGTGTAAGTGCTGAAAGAGGTGCGTGTGTGTGCTTAAAGAGATGTGAGTGCTGAAAGGGGTGTAAGTGCTGAAAGAGGTGCGTGTGTGTGCTGAAAGAGATGTGAGTGCTGAAAGGGGTGTAAGTGCTGAAAGGGGTGTGAGTGTTGAAAGAGATGTGAGTGCTGAAAGAGGTGCGTGTGTGTGCTGAAAGAGATGTGAGTGCTGAAAGGGGTGTAAGTGCTGAAAGAGGTGCGTGTGTGTGCTTAAAGAGATGTGAGTGCTGAAAGGGGTGTAAGTGCTGAAAGAGGTGCGTGTGTGTGCTGAAAGAGATGTGAGTGCTGAAAGAGGTGTGAGTGCTGAAAGGGGTGTGAGTGTTGAAAGAGATGTGAGTGCTGAAAGAGGTGTAAGTGCTGAAAGAGGTGCGTGTGTGTGCTGAAAGAGATGTGAGTGCTGAAAGGGGTGTAAGTGCTGAAAGAGGTGCGTGTGTGTGCTTAAAGAGATGTGAGTGCTGAAAGGGGTGTAAGTGCTGAAAGAGGTGCGTGTGTGTGCTGAAAGAGATGTGAATTGTGAGTGCTGAAAGAGGTGTGAGTGCTGAAAGGGGTGTGAGTGCTGAAAGGGGTGTGAGTGTGCTGTATCTCATTGCTCAATCTAAGTAAACCTATTAAAATTCTCGTAGAATTTCAATGTTTGTACGTGAAATCCTATTATCGTATTAAGCGAAGAATAATCGTATTAAAAATTGGATACCGATAAGTATTTTGTCGTTGAAGATCAGGACCGGCTAAACCTAAGGCGGTGAAATTTTTATCGGTAAAAATATAACCGGCTAAAAGTATGGATGCAGCGGCCGCTTACGCCCGCGTTCCAGCCGAGAAGGAAATTAATTGTAGTCCAATATTCATTATCACCGTCTGAAATACAGGTAAAGGACTCTCTATAATCATGAATATTAATAAATACTGTATGAGTGTATTTGTTCAAATCCCACTTGAAATATTGCTACATTTTATGTGGGATGCAATAATAAATAATGCTATAATAACATTGTTGCCTTGGTAACCTTGACTTTTATATAAGAATGAGGTATCTGGCTTACATTCTATTCGTATTATTTCACACACTGCACTCTTTGTGTTACACACACTACTGACCACATAGCTGCACTCTCTATGTGTGTGATAAAGGTTGTGCCGTGTGTTTACAGCTGATAATGTAAAATACACCTTGCAACACAGGCAATTATGTAGCACATTCTTTTGAATTGTTTACATAAACAATCTTGCTATTACGTGTGGTCTATTTTATGAAGAGCTAAAATTGCTGTAGAACAATGACATGATGTACAATCACAGTGATTTCACGCGACGATTTTTTGAAATGTTTGGCATAGTATCACACCTACAACATGTTTATCTAACACTGGACTGGTATGCTCTGGTATGTGTTTTGAAGATGTAGAATCCTAATCCTAACAAGTTACCAGATCACACGACTCTCTGTGAACGTTTGTACGACATTCCAAACAATATATGTAACAGGAAATACTTTACGTCCTGCCAATATTTAAAGGAATGTACTGGAAAATGGAAATGTAGCATCATCATTATAATATACCTGTTAGCTTGTACTACATACCTTACATACCACTAATTGGCCTTCGTATCTCATTGAACCTGTACACTGTACTGAGCTATTTGTCTCTATTCACGTCATATATAAATATATTGTATATAATCTGTCTTCTTATATATTACATTATATCATATTATATGTACTGTTCGGTGTTCGTATATGCATTTAATTGACGTGTAGCAGAGCTCAAGAACACGCCTTTAGTCTGCTTTAGTCTGTTTGACAGATGGAACGTACAGAATGTAGGTATGAATATCACGAGGCTTTTTAACGCACTGGTGACCTAATATTTTCTTACATTCTTCAAAGTTCAAAGAAAACGCATTTGAGCGTATAAAATGTGCGAATAGATGGCCTCTCCCAGATATAATATTTATAACGAGATATAGAATATCTCAATATATTAAATTTAGGGAATCCTAATAAATAGTTTCGTACTATTTCACCGACACACCCTTCTCACCACCAGGTGATGATGAGATTACTATAACATCACACCTGGTCTAATATATTTCAACAGTATGAGATACTGATAATGACAAACTATTTCCTCCAGGATATCACCAGCTGTGCCACCCCACCATAATAACGTCCCAGCATATCGCCCAGGAAAAGTGGCACTGTTTTTACTGCGTCAGCAAGGAAAAGAATCCGTACATAAAGAATCCATTCGAGAATTCCAGGTATGGGCAATATGGATAGTTGAGAGATCGACCTGTTGCATACTTCACGTTTTTGAATGTTTTCACTGATTCAGGAATTGTTATCTCATGACTTGTTATGTTAATTATGTTTTTTTTTTTCTTCAGGTCAACATCACCTAGATCACCGATAAAACGAAAGCGAAAGTTAGTTAAAGAGGCGCCTCAGCAGGTTAGTCCAGTTTAAGAAAAGTTGATGCTTCAAATGTGCTCACTGTGCCCTTCTTGTACCCCCATCACGTTCCCATAATGGATATCTTGTCATTTAAATGAAGATTTTTGTTGACGTTTTTGGGAGCGAAATATTGAAGATTTTTCTATCGCGAAACCTTAGAAATGGACGTGTTAAAAAAAATGCTTGATGCAGCGCGATTACAAATTGGTTAAGGTGTTAAGTACCATTTCCTGTCGAAAGATCTTTATTAAACATTAAATTCCGATGGGTCCCAATTCCAGTAAAGCGACCAATTTATCCCTGACAACGTGGTATTATAAGTAGATCCTGCGACGCAACTTGACGCAATACTTTACGGTTTTGTAACGCGCTATGTAACAACTATTGGTATCGGGATCAATTCTTGCGCGCGTGTACTGTTTTATTTAATTTTAGCTCAGATCGCGATCGATCGATCATGCAGCTCGTTACGTAATTAAATGAAGTATTTATTCGGTCAAGAAATAAAGATCGATCTGTCGGCTTGTTGGTTGCTTTAGCAACATGTTTAGAGTCATAGTATGCTATATTTGAATAGCAGTGGTCATTCGTATTTATCACACGCATGAAAGCGCAGCATAGGGTAATTTGGTGTAGAATAAAGGACTGCCGATGGTTGCTTGTAATTTCCCGTGTCAAATTATACTACGCTGATTAATAACCGGTATGCCTTATCTTAAGTATTAGAGATGCCACCTTCGATGAGAGCACGTTTCCTTGATTTTTGTAGGGGATTTGTAGGGGATTTGACCCATGTAGGGGATTTATGTTCCGGGGTATTTGGAACAGGTTTAGGGGTTTAAATAGTTAGTACCTGTCCCAAACCATCAGAAAAATCAAGTTTTGACCTCCCAACCCACTCAGGCCACTCCCAGGGGCCACGCCCATCCCAAAATAGCTGAAATCCAGGTAAAATCAAGATCGAAAATCTTTACCCCTGTAGGGGATTTATGTTCCGGGGTATTTGGAACAGGTTTAGGGGTTTAAATAGTTAGTACCTGTCCCAAACCATCAGAAAAATCAAGTTTTGACCTCCCAACCCACTCAGGCCACTCCCAGGGGCCACGCCCATCCCAAAATAGCTGAAATCCAGGTAAAATCAAGATCGAAAATCTTTACCCCTGTAGGGGATTTATGTTCCGGGGTATTTGGAACAGGTCTAGGGGTTTAAATAGTTAGTACCTGTCCCAAACTATCAGAAGAATCAAGTTTCGACCTCCCAACCCACTCAGGCCACTCCCAGGGGCCACGCCCATCCCAAAATAGCTGAAATCCAGGTAAAATCAAGATCAAAAATCTTTACCCCTGTAGGGGATTTATGTTACGGGGTATTTGGAACAGGTCTAGGGGTTTAAATAGTTAGTACCTGTCCCAAACCATCAGAAAAATCAAGTTTCGACCTCCCAACCCACTCAGGCCACTCCCAGGGGCCACGCCCATCCCAAAATAGCTGAAATCCAGGTAAAATCAAGATCGATTTACCCCTGTAGGGGATTTATGTTCCGGGGTATTTGGAACAGGTTTAGGGTTTAAATAGTTAGTACCTGTCCCAAACCATCGGAAAAATCAAGTTTTGACCTCCCAACCCACTCAGGCCACTCCCAGGGGCCACGCCCATCTCAAAATAGCTGAAATCCAGGTAAAATCAAGATCGAAAATCTTTACCCCTGTAGGGGATTTATGTTCCGGGGTATTTGGAACAGGTCTAGGGGTTTAAATAGTTAGTACCTGTCCCAAACCATCAGAAAAATCAAGTTTTGACCTCCCAACCCACTCAGGCCACTCCCAGGGGCCACGCCCATCCCAAAATAGCTGAAATCCAGGTAAAATCAAGATCGAAAATCTTTACCCCTGTAGGGGATTTATGTTCCGGGGTATTTGGAACAGGTTTAGGGGTTTAAATAGTTAGTACCTGTCCCAAACCATCAGAAAAATCAAGTTTCGACCTCCCAACCCACTCAGGCCACTCCCAGGGGCCACGCCCATCCCAAAATAGCTGAAATCCAGGTAAAATCAAGATCGAAAATCTTTACCCCTGTAGGGGATTTATGTTCCGGGGTATTTGGAACAGGTTTAGGGGTTTAAATAGTTAGTACCTGTCCCAAACCATCAGAAAAATCAAGTTTAGACCTCCCAACCCACTCAGGCCACGCCCCGGGGCCACGCCCATCCCAAAATAGCTGAAATCCAGGTAAAATCAAGATCGAAAATCTTTACCCCTGTAGGGGATTTATGTTCCGGGGTATTTGGAACAGGTTTAGGGGTTTAAAAAGTTAGTACCTGTCCCAAACCATCAGAAAAATCAAGTTTCAACCTCCCAACCCACTCAGGCCACGCCCAGGGGCCACGCCCATCCCAAAATAGCTGAAATCCAGGTAAAATCAAGATCGAAAATCTTTACCCCTGTAGGGGATTTATGTTCCGGGGTATTTGGAGGGATTTGGAACAGGTTTAGGGGTTTAAATAGTTAGTACCTGTCCCAAACCATCATAAAAATCAAGGTTCGACCTCCCAAGCCACTCAGGCCACGCCCATCCCAAAGTAGCTGAAATCCAGGTAAAATCAAGATCGAAAATCTTTACCCCTGTAGGGGATTTATGTTCCGGGGTATTTGGAACAGGTTTAGGGGTTTAATTAGTTAGTACCTGTCCCAAACCATCAGAAAAATCAAGTTTAGACCTCCCAACCCACTCAGGCCACGCCCCGGGGCCACGCCCATCCCAAAATAGCTAAAATCCAGGTAAAATCAAGATCGAAAATCTTTACCCCTGTAGGGGATTTATGTTCCGGGGTATTTGGAACAGGTTTAGGGGTTTAAATAGTTAGTACCTGTCCCAAACCATCATAAAAATCAAGTTTCGACCTCCCAAGCCACTCAGGCCACGCCCAGGGGCCACGCCCATCCCAAAATAGCTGAAATCCAGGTAAAATCAAGATCGAAAATCTTTACCCCTGTAGGGGATTTATGTTCCGGGGTATTTGGAACAGGTTTAGGGGTTTAAATAGTTAGTACCTGTCCCAAACCATCAGAAAAATCAAGTTTAGACCTCCCAACCCACTCAGGCCACTCCCCGGGGCCACGCCCATCCCAAAATAGCTGAAATCCAGGTAAAATCAAGATCGAAAATCTTTACCCCTGTAGGGGATTTATGTTCCGGGGTATTTGGAACAGGTTTAGGGGTTTAAATAGTTAGTACCTGTCCCAAACCATCAGAAAAATCAAGTTTTGACCTCCCAACCCACTCAGGCCACTCCCAGGGGCCACGCCCATCCCAAAATAGCTGAAATCCAGGTAAAATCAAGATCGAAAATCTTTACCCCTGTAGGGGATCTATGTTCCGGGGTATTTGGAACAGGTTTAGGGGTTTAAATAGTTAGTACCTGTCCCAAACCATCAGAAAAATCAAGTTTCGACCTCCCAACCCACTCAGGCCACTCCCAGGGGCCACGCCCATCCCAAAATAGCTGAAATCCAGGTAAAATCAAGATCAAAAATCTTTACCCCTGTAGGGGATTTATGTTCCGGGGTATTTGGAATATGTTTAGGTGGTTTAATAGGTAGTACCTGACTCAAACAATCATAAAAACCAAGTTTCGACCTCTTGACCCACTCAGGCCACTCCCAGGAACAATGCGCAACTATTTGTAGGGGATTTGAAAACCGTGTCAAATCCCCTACAAATCCAGACTGAGAATCTTTACCCCTGTAGGGGATTTATGTTCCGGGGTATTTGGAACATGTTTAGGTTGTTAAATAGTTAGTACCTGTACCAAACCATCAGAAAAATCAAGTTTTGACCTCCCAACCCACTCAGGCCACTCCCAGGGGCCACGCCCATCCCAAAATAGCTGAAATCCAGGTAAAATCAAGATCGAAAATCTTTACCCCTGTAGGGGATTTATGTTCCGGGGTATTTGGAACAGGTTTAGGGGTTTAAATAGTTAGTATCTGTCCCAAACCATCAGAAAAATCAAGTTTTGACCTCCCAACCCACTCAGTCCACTCCCAGGGGCTACGCCCATCCCAAGATAGCTGAAATCCAGGCAAAATCAAGATCGAAAATCTTTACCCCTGTAGGGGATTTATGTTCCGGGGTATTTGGAACATGTTTAGGTGGTTTAATAGGTAGTACCTGGCTCAAACAGTCATAAAAACCAAGTTTCGACCTCTTGACCCACTCAGGCCACTCCCAGGAACAATGCGCAACTATTTGTAGGGGATTTGGAAGCCGTGTCAAATCCCCTAGAAATCCAGACTGAGAATCTTTACCCCTTTAGGGGATTTATGTTCCGGGGTATTTGGAATTTGTTAAGATGGTTTAATTGTTGGTATTTGCCCCAAACCATTAAAAAAAATCAATTTTCGACCTCTCAGCCCAATCAGGCAACTCCCTGGGGCCACGCCCATCCAAAAATATCTGAAAATCCCTTAAAACCCAGACTGAGAATCTTTACCACCGTATTCGATTTGTGTTCCGGGGTATTCTTTTTGGTATGACTTACTATTACCACTCATTCAAGGAATATGTTAAATCAAATAATACTCATGCTAATTTTTTTCGAATGAAGGTTCATTATCGCATTTATTTGATAGTTTTGATTATCAGATCAAGCCAAACTTTATGGAATTGTATTTGGCCATTCAAATTACGTTTGATCTGAAAAAATGAGAGTTGTAGCTTCTCATTTGACCGGGATACGAGGCATAACGAGTTTATTAATTACGTGTGATCAGGTGATTGGATTACCTGTTCAGGTGATTAGGCGACCCCGTTAAATAGCAAGGGAACCCAATTAAGGTGTCCTATCACATAATCACCCAATCAATTTTGTTAACGAGATACATAAAATGCTTGATAACTTCGTCATTTCAAATCCGTTTGGCCTCAATTTTTCAGATCAGATGCACCAATTAACTATCTACAGTAATCTGAAATAAATGGGCGTCTAGCATGTCCGGAAAGAACAATATAGGTGATTTAATATTATATGCATATGGACGTAATAGTTACAGCATGCCATCTGCAAATTTACAGGTCCATAATATGAAACACGGTGGTGGTATAAACTATAAGACACAACGTATGTAACGTTACTTTTGCCCCACCCCCTGTAACTTTTCTGGGTTAGGCGTGGCCCCTGGGAGCGGCCTGAGTGGGTCAAGATGTTGAAACTCGGTTTTTCTGATGGTTTGGGTCAGGTACTATCCATTTTTACATAAAAACATGTTCCAAATACCCTGGAACATAAATCTCCTACAGAGGTAAAGATTTTCAATCTTGATTTTACCTGGATTTCAGCTATTTTGGGATGGGCGTGGCCCCTGGGAGTGGCCTGAGTAGGTTGGGAGGTCGAAACTTGATTTTTCTGATGGTTTGGGACAGGTACTAACTATTTAAAACCCTAAACATGTTCCAAATACCCCGGAACATAAATCCCCTACAGGGGTAAAGATTTTCGATCTTTATTTTACCTGGATTTCAGCTATTTTGGGATGGGCGTGGCCCCTGGGAGTGGCCTGAGTGGGTTGGGAGGTCGAAACTTGATTTTGCTGATGGTTTGGTACAGGTACTAACTATTTAAACCCCTAAACCTGTTCCAAATACCCCGGAACATAAATCCCCTACAGGGGTAAAGATTCTCAGTCTGGATTTGTAGGGGATTTGACACGGTTTCCAAATCCCCTACAAATAGTTGCGCATTGTTCCTAGGAGTGGCCTGAGTGGGTTGGGAGGTCGAAACTTGATTTTTCTGATGGTTTGGTACAGGTAATAACTATTTAACCACCTAAACTTGTTCCAAATACCCCGGAATATAAATCCCCTACAGGGGTAAAGATTTTCAATCTTGATTTTACCTGGATTTCAGCTATTTTGGGATGGGCGTGGCCCCTGGGAGTGGTTTGAGTGGGTTGAGAAGTCGAAACTTGATTTTTCTGATGGTTTGGGACAGGTACTACCCATTTTTACACAAAAACATGTTCCAAATACCCCGGAACATAAATCCCCTACAGGGGTAAAGATTTTCAATCTTGATTTTACCTGGATTTCAGCTATTTTGGGATGGGCGTGGCCCCTGGGAGTGGCCTGAGTAGGTTGGGAGGTCGAAACTTGATTTTTCTGATGGTTTGGGACAGGTACTAACTATTTAAAACCCTAAACATGTTCCAAATACCCCGGAACATAATCCCCTACAGGGGTGAAGATTCTCAGTCTGGATTTGTAGGGGATTTGACACGGTTTTCAAATCCCCTACAAATAGTTGCACATTGTTCCTAGGAGTGGCCTGAGTGGGTTGGGAGGTCGAAACTTGATTTTTCTGATGGTTTGGTACAGGTAATAACTATTTTTACACAAAAACATGTTCCAAATACCCCGGAACATAAATCCCCTACAGGGGTAAAGATTTTCAATCTTGATTTTACCTGGATTTCAGCTATTTTGGGATGGGCGTGGCCCCTGGGAGTGGTTTGAGTGGGTTGGGAAGTCGAAACTTGATTTTTCTGATGGTTTGGGACAGGTACTACCCATTTTTACACAAAAACATGTTCCAAATACCCCGGAACATAAATCCCCTACAGGGGTAAAGATTTTCAATCTTGATTTGTCCTGGATTTAAGTTGTTTTGGGATGGGCGTGGCCCCTGGGAGCGGCCTGAGTAGGTTGGGAGGTCGAAACTTGATTTTTCTGATGGTTTGGGACAGGTACTAACTATTTAAACCCCTAAACCTGTTCCAAATACCCCGGAACATAAATCCCCTACAGGGGTAAAGATTTTCAATCTTGATTTTACCTGGATTTCAGGTATTTTGGGATGGGCGTGGCCCCTGGGAGTGGCCTGAGTAGGTTGGGAGGTCGAAACTTGATTTTTCTGATGGTTTGGGACAGGTACTAACTATTTAAAACCCTAAACATGTTCCAAATACCCCGGAACATAAATCCCCTACAGGGGTAAAGATTTTCGATCTTGATTTTACCTGAATTTCAGCTATTTTGGGATGGGCGTGGCCCCTGGGAGTGGCCTGAGTGGGTTGGGAGGTCGAAACTTGATTTTTCTGATGGTTTGGTACAGGTACTAACTATTTAACCACCTAAACATGTTCCAAATACCCCGGAACATAAATCCCCTACAGGGGTAAAGATTTTCAGTCTGGATTTGTAGGGGATTTGACACGGTTTTCAAAGCCCCTACAAATAGTTGTGCATTGTTCCTAGGAGTGGCCTGAGTGGGTTGGGAGTTCGAAACTTGATTTTTCTGATGGTTTGGTACAGGTAATAACTATTTAACCACCTAAACTTGTTCCAAATACCCCGGAACATAAATCCCCTACAGGGGTAAAGAGTTTCGATCTTTATTTTACCTGGATTTCAGCTATTTTGGGATGGGCGTGGCCCCTGGGAGTGGCCTTAGTGGGTTGGGAGGTCGAAACTTGATTTTTCTGATGGTTTGGGACAGGTACTACCCATTTTTACACAAAAACATGTTCTAAATACCCCGGAACATAAATCCCCTACAGGGGTAAAGATTTTCAATCTTGATTTGTCCTGGATTTAAGTTGTTTTGGGATGGGCGTGGCCCCTGGGAGCGGCCTGAGTAGGTTGGGAGGTCGAAACTTGATTTTTCTGATGGTTTGGGACAGGTACTAACTATTTAAAACCCTAAACATGTTCCAAATACCCCGGAACATAAATCCCCTACAGGGGTAAAGATTTTCGATCTTTATTTTACCTAGATTTCAGCTATTTTGGGATGGGCGTGGCCCCTGGGAGTGGCCTGAGTGGGTTGGGAGGTCGAAACTTGATTTTTCTGATTGTTTGGGTCAGGTTCTTCATATCTACTCACCAAATCATGTTCCAAATACCACGGAACTGAAATCCCCTACAGGGGTAAAGATTCTCAGTCTGGATTTGTAGGGGATTTGACACGGTTTTCAAATCCCCTACAAATAGTTGTGCATTGTTCCTGTGACTGGCCTGAGTGGGTCAAGAGGTCGAAACTTGGTTTTTCTGATTGTTTGGGTCAGGTTCTTCATATCTACTCACCAAATCATGTTCCAAATACCACGGAACTGAAATCCCCTACAGGGGTAAAGATTCTCAGTCTGTATTTTAGGGGACTTCAGCTATTTTGGGATGGGCGGCCTGAGTGGGGTTACGTGTTATTTAGTTATCGGTTATATTTATATCTTATTGTGTCTAAATACGAGCAGTTTAGTGAGACCTCTAAAATCTTATCCTTGTAAATTCTACAATTATAAATATTGTAACGTACGTGCGACGCGCAAAATCCCCTACAAAATCCCCTACAAAATTCAGGGAAACGTCTTCTGCCTTCGATAAGATTTACCGGAAGTTTAATTTTCGTTTTTCATTTCAGAAAAAGATTCCAAAGAAACGTAGAAAGCTCCACCGATCGCCACCGAAACCTCCAAAAACCTCTAAATCATTTGTGGCTAAGAAGTGTACGGTTTCAATTATAAAAAAGCCAATCCCAATAGTGCCTAAAGAGTTTTCAGACGCAAGTAACTGTTCCTCTGACCAGGCTTTGATACCAGAAGAGACTAGATCAGTTCACACACCATCACCACCTCCAGTACCACCTCCTACACTTCCCATCAGACCAGTCAACACCGTTCAGCCCTTGAATCACAACATGGCGTACCCAGTGTGTAGCCCGCCCCCCTTGCAAATGTCGCCTCTCGTCAAGAAAACTCCTCGTCTACAATCCTACTCTCCACCTCCCCTCATGACCCCTCGTGACGTCACTGTCAATCACAGTGCCTTGATGACGTCACTGCCACCTCTTCAGAAAGCTAGAGATATGGACTCTGATCCTTTGCGGAGTATCCCTGACTGTCCCTCTTCAAGTTGGACACACAACACTAGCAAGCCATCTTCCAAGCTTAAAAAGTCTCCTGTGTGCTCGACACGCCCTGTTAAGTCTGAAGCTAGTCCACAGGAACGTTCTGAAATAGTAGAAAACACCACTATTATCCCTCCAAACCCCTTTCTTGAACATCCTCCGCAACTACCATCTGGAGATTTGGTCAGCAACATCAGTTCAGATCAGATACGAGGCCTGTACATGCGACTGTACGACTTCTTGCAACAGACACGGGCCCAGGGGAATCCTGTAATAGACCGTGAAGTGGTACAGCACCTCATATCTTATGGTAATGAACAAATTCAAAGATTGTCATCAGCTGGCTCCATTTCAAATTCCGAACAGTTGGATGGATCTAGTTCAAGTCAAGTAACCAGCCTGAACAGTGCCGGGAATACGACGGACCTAAGTTCACGTGGCACTTCGTCTAGCTCGGAGAATTCAGTCGAAACAAGTGCTAAAAATAATCTGAAAAAAGTTCTAGAGCAAGACTCGACTGAGTCCCAAAAACCTGACTCGAATATAGAGCGGATAACTGCACACGTGGCAGCAAGTCCTGCTGGAGGCAAGATAACAGAGCAGCTTCCTCCGCGTTCAAACTCTCGACAAACTTCTGTTACTGATCAAGAATTGGAATCACTCCGAAGTTTAATGAACCAAGACGGGAGGGGCATTTCAGCCCACATTGCAGCGAGTCCCGCTGTCCTGAAAGAAAAAGAACAACCTCCTCTGCGTTCAAACTCTGGGAAATCCTTGGTTACCAATAAGGAATTTGAATCCCTCAGTTTGCTGATAGACCAAGAAGAGAGGAATATCTCCTCCTCTGGGAAGGAAACAGTTATACCGCCTATTTTAAACTCTTTGTCTTCTCCTTTTGAAGTTTTTGCTTCTCCGCAAGAATCCTCAACACTAACAAAAAATAAGGAGCCTGTATCGAATTTAATTGAAGTACCAATTTCCTCAAAAACTGTGTTGATTAAGGCCACGTCAAGTGCCCAGCCGAAGTTTGACGCTGAATTAAAACCCACGAAAAAGATAATTTCCCAACCGCTGGAACCTTTTAATCTTGCTATGATGGGTCCTTTTATTCAAGACATAAAAAAGAAGAAGATAAAAAAGATTCCAGTGAACCGTAAAATGGCCAAAGCAGTCATCGTAAAAAATCAGGAGAAGAAGAAGAAGCAATTGAAGAGACCAACCAAGTCTGTGCCGTCAAGAAAAAGACCAAAACCAGATCCTCCGATGTCATCGATATACACCGCGGTCCAAGCAGGGAATTCAGTCATAATAACGCCTAACTCTGCATGTAATCCGTCCACTAAGAACTCTGTTCCGGTTCAATTCATTACGGAAGTAGATGTTCCCTCAAATACGGATTCGTCAGCGGATTTTTCCAAGACATTTGCAGAGTATCCGTACAGTGCTACAAACCAGAAAGTTTCTGATCTACCCAGTCCTGCTCAGTGCAGTCTACCTACTACGCCGCTTCTTCCCGTTCAAATGTCATCAACTTCTATCCCTGTTTTTGGTAGCAATAAACCCATTGGCCCATCCACCCTTAATGGGCCCTTGACATCCATATCAGCTTGCACAAATCATGTTTCTTTTAGTCTTACTGGAGACGGTATAGCACCATCCAATCATTTGACTCTTCCCAAAACGTCTGTGGTGCCACCTTTTGAGCAAAGTATATCCTGTCCCACTGAAACTGTTTCCCAGAAGAATGACTCCATCATCAGGAAATTCCACTCAGTGGAAACGAGTAGTATGGCCCCAAAATCAAACGACATTGTCAAGACTATTCCAACAATCCCTTTCCAGTTAACAATGACTCCAACTCAGCATCCGTTCGAAAAGGTGGCCTCACCGGCTAGCACGGTATCAATTCCATCGCTTGGTAATGTTATAAAGAATGAGGAAACATCTTTAAAACCTCAACTAAAGAATGATGATATTTCAACATCAGATGCTAAACAAACGTCCGCTTCGGGCAGATCCGGCTTACCTCGAAAAAGTAAGAACCAAGCGAATCATAACATCAAAAGTTTCACCATCTTTGATAGTTATTCTTCGCTGTTTGACTCGGATGGTGATGAAGATGACGTGTTTGTTACTCAGAAACCTGCGTCTCAGACATCGTCTGAACTCAGGGACGTAGGGAACTACAATCGTATGGCATTACCTGTATCTCAGGGAAGTGAAAACTTTGGCCCTGACAGCAACAACACTCAAATTCTCGATAAACTTATTTCGAGCCAAACATCTTCAGAGGGAAAAAGCATGACTTCCACTACAAATGCTGTTTCGCAGGAAATTTCACAAACAACTCCTTTTTCTGCCACTCTCTTCCTTGATGAGCTGTTTGATACAGCATCTGGGTCCAGCACAGGACCAAACCATGCTTATGTATCTAACACAAGAATGGACCATGTTTCAGTAGTGCCATCTTTTTCCAGCACAAGAATGGACCCTGTTTCAGTAGTGCAATCTGTTTCCAGCACAAGAATGGACCATGTTTCAGTAGTGTCATCTGTTTCCAGCACAAGAATGGACCGTGTTTCAGTTGTGCCATCTGTATCCAATACAAGAATGGACCATATTTCAGTATTGCCATCTGTATCCAGCACAAGAATGGATCCTGTTTCTGTAGTGCCATCTATTTCCAACACAAGAATGGACCATGTTTCAGTAGTGCCATATGTTTCCAGCAGAAAAGCGTCCCCCGAGGAGTTGGCTTCAACATCGTCCACATTGACCACCCGTCAACATCCTGCTACCTTTCATTGCAAGACCTCTCCTCCTCCTGCATCATCCCCATCTGACCAGAAACATACTACCGTGTATCCCAACAAATCTGTTATTCTGATGGCTCGAGGCATTTCACAAGTTTTGCATCAGATGTTGATGGTTGCCTCTGTCAAAACAACCTCAGAACTAGCTATTAGGGCAGCTGTGATAAGACTAGAGGAGAGAGCTACGTCCGTCAACTTTCTGACTGCCACCTTACTTCACGAGTTGATTACTGTTGCTGTCAGCAGTTTAAAAAAGGTCAGTGGTTACACCGACAAATTCTATTTATGATTTCAATTCCTTTCTCTCACATTTTTTAGATCTATTTAAGCGACAACATTTCAAATACGATTAAACTTGGGCACTTTATAGTTAAAATACTAATTTTATCTTTCATCAGATTAGGGACACTGCGCCTGTCACGAATTCTCAAAATCCATCCCTGGGTTCAGACGCCTTCTCACAAAATTCGACCCTTACTTCTGCTGCATTCTCACAGAATGTAACCCCTGCTCCTGTTGTCTGTTCCCAGAATCTTTTCTCCAAACCTGTTGCCTGTTCGCAAAATGTTTCTCCTACTCCTGTCGCCTGCTCGCAGAATGTTTCTCCTGCTCCTGTCGCCTGTTCGCAGAACGTTTCTCCTGCTCCTGTCGCCTGTTCGCAGAACGTTTCTCCTGCTCCTGTCACCTGCTCGCAGAATGTTTCTCCTGCTCCTGTCGCCTGTTCGCAGAACTTTTCTCCTGCTCCTGTCGCCTGTTCGCAGAACGTTTCTCCTGCTCCTGTTGCCTGTTCGCAGAATTCAACCTCTGTCCCCATCGATTGCTCGCAGAATATATCCCCTAATCCTATCGCAAATAGACAAAATCTGTGTTCTACTCCTGGCAATAACAATTCAACCGAGTCTGAAAAACTTACAACAACGAACATTTGGGATGAAAACAGAGAGCCCAACAAAAATGTACGTAACTTTTTTAAATTATCTTTTGAAGCATGATTCATATTCCATATTCAGACTTACCATCTGCCTATTATCTTGATAATTTGTCTATTCCAAGCATAATTCATATTAAGTATCATTGCCCAAAATGAACAATTTCTCCATCCAATTACTAAACTCCCTTCATTTCAGAAGATAACAGGACAGTGCTACAACTGTTACTCCACAGCCCAGATCACCTGTAGACGGTGTGCAACTGCTCTCTACTGCTCCCTCAGATGCGAGGTACTGATTATACACTCTTACAGTCTGAAGTTTAGAAACGATAAACTAATGATGTATTTTTTAGTAATAATATAGTCTTCTTTTATTAATAACAGTCTGTTGAAATGCTGTATTTTTTCTATCCATATTTACAGTCACGTCAGAATGCACAATTCACTCTGTGAATGGTTCTGATAAGAACTCACGTCGTTTTCTGTATAGCTGACCATAATGCTCAATTTTAACGTGTATTTTACTAACATCACTCAAATTTCAGTTGGAGCACTTGGCGATACACCGACGCGAGTGCTGTAAGAGACAATCATAACACTGAGTGCATCATGCACACTGTTCATCGTGATCACTGTTCATCGTGCACACTGTTCATCGTGCACAATGTTCATCGTGCACACTGTTCATCGTGCACACTGTTCATCGTGCACACTGTTCATCGTGCACACTGTTCATCGTGCACACTGTGCAGCGTGCACACTGTTCATCGTGCACACTGTTCATCGTGCACACTGTGCAGCGTGCACACTGTTCATCGTGCACACTGTTCATCGTGCACACTGTTCATCGTGCACACTGTTCATCGTGCACACTGTTCATCGTGCACACTGTTCATCGTGCACACTGTTCATCGTGCACACTGTTCATCGTGCACACTGTTCATCGTGCACACTTTTCATCGTGCACACTGTTCATCGTGCACACTGTTCATCGTGCACACTGTTCATCGTGCACACTGTGCATCCTACAGAGAATTATTGCTCGAGTGGTGGAAAACAAACAACGCTCCAAACAATAACTGATTTTTGAACCGTGAACACTGAACATCACTGATTTATCGTTGACATAAAGTCGTGATTTGGGGCTGCATGTTTTTTATTATTAACTTTGAACCTGGTTAAATTATTTCCACATTAATTTTGAATCGATTGCTTTCGTTGAGATTTTCCCAGATCTTGGATACGTTTACCAGGCGTACATTTGAATTATCATTTCTACCTACTCGATTATTGGTGTATCGAATGTTGATACTCTGTGATAGTAGCACGTTGATGAGTGTAAGAACAAGTGTTATCATACCACTATCACTTAATGATTGGTCACAATATCGGTTTAAACTTCCTGAGAAACAAAATATTTACAGTTTGCTTTTGTGTGCTTAGTTTTGAGTTTTAGATTTTGATGCATGTATCTTTACGTTAACTGTTGTTGTAAGTCTGGTTTAAGTATAGTCTGACGCTTATTTCAACTACTAATCGTTTCTTATTGTTTTGTTTTAAAAAAGCTCTTTCGTGGTGTTTAATTTTTAATTATTTTACTTGCTTTTAATTTTGACTAAACACTGAATTTTATCAAGACTTCTGCAACGGATTTGAAGTTTAATTTTATTTATTTTAATCGGGGCTCTGTAATAATGAGTAATCGTGAATGATTTGAAAATTCGCTAGAGGTGAAGATTTCGAGTTTTACTTCGTTCTAAAGTACAAAAAGGCATCATCTTTTTAAAAAATGTAAATTTAATTTGACTATCAAATAACAGTATCTAATCCCGCCACTTTTCTGTGTAATCTAAGAAATGGTCCACGTATTATTAACGACCTACAACGTTTCATTTCATGTCAGATCACCTGCACACTTTTTCTGTGCCCAACATGTACCACTATACTGGTATACAGTATACACTATACCAGTACAGATCTCAACCACGCGATCTATTAGCGCACCCGTGCCTCGGCTTATGACTATGAGTTGTTTCCTTTTTAATTATTTTACTACCGGTGTCTTAGGTTATAAATAAATAAACGTAAACGTGGGCCAGTGAGCCACAGTTTCATACACTTATTGGTTAATTACTCAGTACTTAGAGGTCTTAACATACGTTTGAGATAAAGTAGTCCGAGAAACTGGCCTTCTGTTGATTCAAGCTACGCTGATTATAAGTTTGAGGATGATTAATGACACTTTGACCTTGGAAACTCATAACAGAATTTATGATGGCTTGATTGCGTGCGGGCTCTTTGTCTGCTTTGTGATCGGACTGCCGGGAAACTGTCTAGCTTTGAAATATTTCCTCAGCACAAAGAAACGAAATCTGTCAGCTCTTCTTTACATAGTGGCATGTTCTATCGATATAGGTTCCTCCGTCATTCACCTTCCAGTTGCTTTTAGTCTGCTGAACAACCGAACTGCTGGGTTACTCAGCAACTCTGTAGTTAACTCCATTTGGAATTCCGTCCTCCTGCTGCTTCAACTAATGTCCATATTCGTGGTTATGACACTGTCGTTATCACGAGCGATTGCCATAAAGTACCCTTTCTACAAAATCAACAAAAGAGCAGTTCTTGTGTCCATCGCTGTTTACCTCCTTTACCATTGCATTTGCAACTCTCTACTTTTTGTCTATCCCAAAATGGCTAACAGTAACAGCTACGCTAGTAGTGACGCATCGCCAATACCCCCAGAATTTTTACCACTGTTAACCTGCTACATGTTTAACTACAGCGCTTGTTTGGGAATACCTACAATCATCGTGTTTCTGACGTTTCTTCTCTCGATTCTTATGCTCCGGAGAGATCCTGTCGCAAACAATGTATCCCAAAGGAGAAATCAACATGCTTCAATCACCATTACTTACTTTACAGCCCTCTTCCTCTGTTGCAATTGCTTTCCTTTCATCAACTGCTGTCTCTTCACTTACACCATGGTGACGTCCAAGACATACCCGGGTCCAATATACGATAACCATTTTATGTACTTCTACAGCTGGCTTCTAAGTGACGTCTTATGTACAGTCCTAAACGCTTCTCTAAACCCGCTGCTCTATGTTTGGAGGATGACGGAAATGAGGTTGTGGATTGTTGGAATCCTCCGAAATAGAGCAACCAGTGCTTCTATGGTGATAGCGAATACAAGCAATGAAACTGAGACCGAACTGTAACAGTAAAGATATTAGTAATGACAACCTAAACTGGATAAAATGAACTAATTAGGAAACGGCCGAACTGGTAACTTTTGAAAAACTTGAACTGAATCGAATTTGTTGCAGGCATCCACCATGAAGTAGCATGTTTTGTGAACATAATTAAATAACATAGTTTATAACAGTGTGTATTCCGATGATCCTTTACTTTGTAAAGCCAGCTGTATGCATTTTGTGTTTATGTGTATTTCAGCTTCCGGCACTGCAGCTAGTGTGCTGTGTTTTTATTGTGTTATTAACGTATTATTTAGCATATTTAACAGTCCCTGAGTTTGAAAGTTGTTAATTGGTGTTTGAGACAAGTATTTTTGTAATACTACTAATACGTTGTAGGTTTATAACCTACCAGGACGAGCACCGAGTTGGACTCGTCGATATGTATGGAACAAATATTTTACGAGCATCACCCGTTAACTAATACGCTGTGCTATATATTTGCATATTGACGTAGTTGATGGTTGAGCTGGTTTCGAGCACAGGTCGCTCTCAAATCCAACGATGAGCAACGCCAACGATTCGACCTTCGGCATTTGAAACCTCCTCAAGCCTTCGCTGGAGTGCTCAACCTTCTGGACTTATTGGACTACTAATACGTTGTAGGTTTATAACCTAGTAACCACTAACCTGCCAGGACGAGCACCGAGTTGGACTCGTCGATATGTATGGAACAAATATTTTACGAGTATCACCTGTTAACTAATACGCTGTGCTATATATTTGCATATTGACGTAGTTGATGGTTGAGCTGGTTTCGAGCACAGGTCGCTCTTAAATCTAACGATTCGACCTTCGGCATTTGAAACCTCCTCAATCCTTCGCTGGAGTGCTCATGGCTCAACCTTCTGGGCGGAAGACTGTCAACAGATGCCGAACGATAAGTTTTTGAAATTCTCCCGAGTTTGATCGGAGACAACAATTATATATATTGAAACTTATTCAGAGTGTTTTCTTCGACTACAAAATTAACAACCGTCCATTCAATTCAAATTGAACGCATGATGATAAATAAATTGTAAATATTCAAAAATAGATAAGTGGTGGTCAGAAAATGTGATGGCCCCGTCAAGTCTTGACGAAACTCAACATATTCATAGGTCACATAGGTAAGTCAAGTGCTTCTTTATAAACCAACTTGTGCCGAGTTGGACACAACTCAACATATTTGAACAAGTTCGATATAATGTTAAAGATTATCAGTATCACGTCACGCATTTAGCTTTGCCTTTACTTATACTACACGTTCATGTATCATGTATACCTTGTAGGTTTATAACCTACCAGGACGCGCGCCAAATTAAATGTTCTTGTCTCATATGTGTTTGATACGATTTACTGGGCCGCGCTCAGCCTGTCATTCCGCCGAATCTCTATTTATGAGCATAATAGCCTGAGGTCCCAAGGTAAGATACGATCTGAGATGAAGTTCCTGGCTGGGGGTCATGGATTTGGATTTTTATTTCTGGGATCTGTTACTGCAACTCGATTTTATAATAGAAACATATCTAACTTACTCGGGAATATTATAGCGGGTTAATTTATGACTGGGAAAATTAATGACCGGGAAAAATATGGCGGAATTTTCCAAAACCCACCACTTTATCCCAGTCATAATATTCCCGAGTAAGGTAAGGTAATCGTTCTTTTGGCATTATAGCACTCGTTTGCAAAAACAAACTTGAAGCAACTACATTTCTCCGGGTGATTCTACCAATTACGGTATTCTCTTTGACATTTTATGCTTCCATGTGGATGGCCCGGCCTTGAGCCCAAATCCTTTTTTGATGCAACCGTCTGATTTAACAGGAACTTTCAGCAAGGGAGGACGTTCTCATAAACTGCTAAAATTTATTTATTTTACTGGGGTGGCGAATTTGTGTTTCATTTTAGAGATTTTAGGGGTTGGTCTGGTGATAATTGTAGGGATAGCATTGATGACATGCTATCAGTATCACTCTCATGATATAGCCCCGGATTATTAAGATCCAGTTACGAGATTGAGATTCTAGATGCTAAACATGTTTTATAAGGACCTGCCATACGCCTAATAGTATTAGTAAATTTAGCTTTGGCGATCGGTCACAATCGCAATTTTTAAGGCTTAGTTATGAGTTTAAGATTTTGGTGACTGTATATTTACGTTTAACTTTTAGCTGCTAATCTCTTGTTATTTTTTGTTTTTCAAACTAGCTTTCGTAATTATTCAATTTGTGATTTTTTACTTGTTTTAGTTTTGACTTAACAGTTAACACTCAAAGTCAAACGTCTACAGCGGAGTTGAAATTTAATTTTATCTTTTTTACAATAGAGACTCTGTAATACTAATAGTGAATGGATAATTTGAAAACTCACTAGACGTGAACATTTCACGTTTTATTTTGTTCTAAAGTAAAGATTTGAGAAAGAAAAGGCTTCAGTGGCAGTACAGGGAGTAGCACCATCGAGTATCTGTAGTATATTTGAAAAATCACCGCTTAGACAATCACAAACGGAAAGGAGAAATCCAAAGTATTTTGAAATTAAGTTCAACAGATTACGCATCACCGATTATAGCATCTCTAACGTAGGACCACAATTATATAACAACACGATAAACGAAATAAATAAAATCCTTCCCTTCAACGTACCTAAGTTACAAGATAAGTTTATTAATTCATACAAGGACAACATTGTACGTTACTTACTGGACAAACAAAAACTTGACCTAAAAAACCTTTCGTGGACGGACAAAAACTTTTTCCTTTACAACTTTTAAACAAAATATTAGCAAAATATAACAGCTGTAAGAATCCTAAACGCGTTAGTGCAGTCAAATAAATGAACTGCGATAATGCATTTGACAGTCAGTCACTGCAATTTATTCTGCAACTTATTTTTCAACTTTCACTGCCACACTTAGGCTTATCTTGCCTACACATTTTTTTAACGAAATTCCTTGCGCACCGCGTACTAAAATTACTTTGATTTCTACCGCTTTGATAAAATGACTACAAGAAGATGGGGAGTTAATATTGTTGATTTATATAATATAGATTATTTATTCTTTAGTGTAGATTAACTTTATTTTTATATATTTTACTAAGTATGAAGGATCAACCATACGTTATTGATATTGTTGAAATATTTAATGATAAATTGATATAATAATAAATGATTGTAATATTTTTATTGAGGCACATGCCACCCCATCGCGGGTTTACTACTACTACTACTACTTACTACTACGTCTACAGATCTTAACCACGCGATCTATTAGCGCACCCGTGCCTCGGCTTATGACTATGAATTGTTTCCTTTTTAATTATTTTACTACCGGTGTCTTTACTGGGCCGCGCTCAGCCTGTCATTCCGCCTAATCTCTAAAGCCTGGGGTCCTCAGGTAACCGGTGTCTTAGATTATAAATAAATAAACGTAAACGTGGGCCAGTGAGCCACAGTTTCATACACTTATTGGTTAATTACTCAGTACTTAGAGGTCTTAACATACGTTTTGTGATAAAGTACCTAGTCCGAGAAACTGCCCTTCTATTGATTCAAGCTACGTTGATTATAAGTTTGAGGATGATAAATGACACTTTGACCTTGGAAACTCATAACAGAATTTATGATGGCTTGATAGTGTGCGGGCTCTTTGTCTGCTTTGTGATCGGACTGCCGGGAAACTGTCTAGCTTTGAAATATTTCCTCAGCACAAAGAAACGAAATCTGTCAGCTCTTCTTTACATAGTGGCATGTTCTATCGATATAGGTTCCTCCGTCATTCACCTTCCAGTTGCTTTTAATCTGCTGAACAACCGAACTGCTGGGTTACTCAGCAACTCAGTTGTCAACTCCATTTGGACTTTCGTCCTCCTGCTGCCTCAACTAATGTCCATATTCGTGGTTATGACACTGTCGTTATCACGAGCGATCGCCATAAAATACCCTTTCTACAAAATCAACAAAAGAGCAGTTCTTGTGTCCATCGCTGTTTACCTCCTTTACCATTGCATTTGCAACTCTCTACTTTTTGTCTATCCCAAAATGGCCATGGATCACAACTTATACGCTACGTCACCTAGTGACGTATCTCCAACGGAAATACCCCCAGAATCTTCACCGCTGTTAATATTCTTTATGTTCAACTACACCGCTAGTGTGGGAATTCCTCCAATCATCGTGTTTCTGACGTTTCTTGTCTCCATTGCTATGCTCCGGAAAGATCCTGTCGCAAACAATGTATCCCAAAGGAGAAATCAACATGCTTCAATCACCATTACTTACTTTACAGCCCTCTTCCTCTGCTGCAATTGCTTTCCTTTCATCTACTGCTCTCTCTTCACTTACACCACGGTGTCGAAAACATACCCGGGTCCAATATGTGATAACGATTTTATGTCTTTATACGGCTGGCTACTAAGTGACGTCTTATGTACAGTCCTAAACGCTTCTCTAAACCCACTGGTCTATGTTTGGAGGATGAGGGAAATGAGGTTGTGGATTGTTGGAATCCTCCGAAATAGAGCAACCAGTGCTTCTATGGTGATAGCGAATACGAGCAATGAAACTGAGACCGAACTGTAACAGTAAAGATATTAGTAATGACAACCTAAACTGGATAAAATGAACTAAGGAAACGGCCGAACTGGTAACTTTTGAAAAACTTGAACTGAATCGAATTTGTTGCAGGCATCCGCCATGAATAGTAGCATGTTTTGTGAACATAATTAAATAACATAGTTTATAACAGTGCGTAGTCCGATGATATTGATTCTTTACTTTGTAAAGCCAGCTGTATGCATTTTGTGTTTATGTGTATTTCAGCTTCCGGCACTGCAGCTAGTGTGCTGTGTTTTTATTGTGTTATTAACGTATTATTTAGCATATTTAACAGTCCCTGAGTTTGAAAGTTGTTAATTGGTGTTTGAGACAAGTATTTTTGTAATACTACTAATACGTTGTAGGTTTATAACCTACCAGGACGAGCACCGAGTTGGACTCGTCGATATATATGGAACAAATATTTTACGAGTATCACCCGTTAACTAATACGCTGTGCTATATATTTGCATATTGACGTAGTTGATGGCTGAGCTGGTTTCGAGCACAGGTCGCTCTCAAATCCAACGATTCGACCTTCGGCATTTGAAACCTCCTCATATCAAGCCTTCGCTGGAGTGCTCATGGTTCAACCTTCTGGGCGGAAGACTGTCAACAGATGCCGGACGATAAGTTTTTGAAATTCTCCCGAGTTTGATCGGAGACAACAATTATATATATTGAAACTTATTCAGAGTGTTTTCTTCGACTACAAAATTAACAACCGTCCATTCAATTCAAATTGAACGCATGATGATAAATAAATTGTAAATATTCAAAAATAGATAAGTGGTGGTCAGAAAATGTGATGGCCCCGTCAAGTCTTGACGAAACTCAATATACTCATACTCATAGGTCACATAGGTAAGTCAAGTGCTTCTTTATAAACCAACTTGTGCCGAGTTGGACACAACTCAACATATTTGAACAAGTTCGATATCAGATATAATGTTAAAGATTATCACGTCACGCATTTAGCTTTGCCTTTACTTATACTACACGTTCATGTATACCTTGTAGGTTTATAACCTACCAGGACGCGCGCCAAATGTTCTTGTCTCATATGTGTTTGATACGATCTGAGATGAAGTTCCTGGGGGTCATGGATTTGGATTTTTATTTCTGGGATCTGTTACTGCAACTCGATTTTATAATAGAAACATATCTAATCGTTCTTTTGGCATTAGCACTCGTTTGCAAAAACAAACTTGAAGCAACTACATTTCTCCGGGTGATTCTACCAATTATGGTATTCACTATTCTCTTTGACATTTTATGCTTCCATGTGGATGGCCTTGAGCCCAAATCCTTTTTCGATGCAACCGTCTGATTTAACAAGAACTTTCAGCAAGGGAGGACGTTCTCATAAACTGCTAAAATTTATTTATTTTACTGGGGTGGCGAATTTGTGTTTTATTTTAGAGATTTTAGGGGTTGTTCTGGTGATAATTGTAGGGATAGCATTGATGACATGCTATCAGTATCACTCTCATGACATAGCCCCAGATTATTAAGATCCAGTTGCGAGATTGAGATTCTAGATGCTAAACATGTTTATAAGAACCTGCCATACGCCTAATAGTATTAGTAAATTTAGCTTTGGCGATCGGTCACAATCGCAATTTTTTCCTTTTCACCCTTTTGAAAAAAGGCAATAGTGAAAGGTTACGAATGGAGGTTTTTGCAGAAAAACGTGGATTTTGGAGAACGAGATAGGTGGGTTTAAATATGTCGTCAGTCCTTTTATTTCGTTAGTTACCATGCGACGAAAAAGTTGCGCGCGCGCGAGGATTGCTTGCGGAGATGTGATGTATAGATAGCCTGTGATCTAAGAATGCGCGGCGCGACTGTGTTTTAATGTATATGATGCATGTAATGTATAATATTACTATTAGGTAATACGCCCAATTTGTACGTGGCACGCGTAGTGTATTGATGTGTACACGAGTATAGTTTACCTTAGCTGATAATTTCTTGAATTACAGATACAAGTTAAGTTCTACGGCAATTGAACTGAATTTCAAGTGTTTCCCGTATTTGATGCATAATTTATCAATATTATTATCATGAAGATTGAAGTGAGCTGATTGGAGCTTATACTTAAATTTATAGTAAATGTGAAATGGAAATCTAGCGTCCGCCAAAACGAAACAACGGGCGCAATTCTTGTTAAGGCTTAGTTGTGAGTTTAATATTTTGTGACTGTATAATGTATATTTACGTTTAACTTTTAACTGCTAATCTCTTGTTATTTTTTGTTTTAAAAAAGCTTTCGTAATTATTTAATTTGTGATTTTTTACTTGTTTTAGTTTTGACTTAACAGTTAACACTCAAAGTCAAACGTCTACAGCGGAGTTGAAATTTAATTGTATCTTTTTTACAATAGAGACTTTGTAATACTAATAGTGAATGGATAATTTGAAAACTCACTAGACGTGAACATTTCACGTTTTATTTTGTTCTATAAAAGTAAAGATTTGAGAAAGAAAAGGCTTCATCTTCACAAAATGTAAATTGTAATTGTATCAATTAACAAATCAGTCGGGCACTATGACTAGTAAGTATTGAATACAAACATGCATAATACATATTCAGTAAAGAATATAGTGAACAATGCGTATGCGATGTTAAACCAACGTCCAACACAAATACATAAATTGATAAATAAATTGATAAATAAATTCTTCATCTGTCCTTATTCATTATTTTAGATTGATTGTTATAGTAAGTTTTGTACGGAGGAGACTCAGGTCTCAGAGTGGTTAATTTTACTGAGAGCCTCAGGGCTAAAGAGAGAAGCAAATTACATTAAACCACTTAACTCATTGTAATTGATTATATAACTGACTATATATATTAAATTATATATATTAAATTATTGATTAATGCTACGAATTCATTACATTTATGATTTAAAACGAAACAAATTTATATAATTTTAGATGGTATGAGAATGAAACATATAAAGACCGATGCAAATTATGATCAATCATAGCTATAATGTAAAAATACATGAGTAATGCAGAAAATAATAAAAGAATTGTCCGGCAAATTTAATTTAATCAAAACAAATATTATTTACAGATAATGGTCAGTTCAAAAGTGTTTAATTTTATGTTACTAGTAGTCCAACAATCACGATGCTTTTAAGTCCCACTACTGTCAGAATTGCCACATAAAGCGTCCGATAAAGAGGATGCTCAAAGTGTGACAAATTTCAGTATCAGTATGTTCATTGTTCATTGTACAATTGCAGCCGATTTTTCGAAATTCTGCGTTCGTGAAGTTTATCCGCACTCCACAGTTCGTGACTGGACACTTTAAAACTGAAGTTATGAACGTTCAAGTTTAACTCCAGTGACTGCTACTGAAGCCCCAACCCGAGCCAGGTACATTGGAGGTATACTTTTCCATGCTTGTGCGTCAGCATCGTACCTAAAAATAAAAGTCCATCAGGCAGTTAGATCGATAGCTTTGGTAAAGCTAAATTTAATTTTAATAGATTAAAGAAATAATTTGACGATGAAAACTCTCCCAACCCTCAACCAAGCACAGCCACAAAGTCAAACTGGAAAACATGGGCGTTGGTATTATAAATCGAAGCCAAGATGAGAACTACCTAGGCCTTTTTATAAGATCAAATACGTCATACTATAGTCTATACTGATTATATTGCAATACTTCATTTAACGATCAGACAACAGATAATTTATTTTCATTTTAAATAACAGTAATTTCATCAAGAATTATAACAGTGTAATTCTCAGTTCTCACAGTAATCAAGGAATTAATTGAGTAATTAATTACCGTTGAGCAGTAGAGCAGGAAGCAAGAGGGGCAGTACCATCACTTCCACCCAGCACATAAAGAATATCCTGAACATTAACCAGACAGGCCCCTCCTACCGGATTACTGAGAGCTGGCATTATGTTCCATTGTCCTGTAGCTGGACTGAACCTACATGGGGGGAGGTGGTGAGGTATTTGAAACATGTTTATGTTAGGTACGTTAGCTGCGAGGTAAGCACAACAGCTGGAAGTATTAGAGAGGTTCAGAAATATTAGAGCAGTTTGAAAGTATTGGAACGGAATTATTGGAAAGAAAATGTTGGAAATTTAGGAACGTTCAGAATTTATTAAAAAGATCAGAATGTCATTTGATCTACCTCTCGACAGTGTACATTTTATCAGCCTGTCTGAGACCGGCCCTGTCTTTTCCGGGAAGACCGCAGATGAAGATGAAGTCCTTGATGGCAGCAGCTCCGGGACACCACCGGGGTCGGATGGTGGGTTGTAGCTCAACCCAGCCGTTATCTACAGGATCATACACTTCTAGCGACTGTAAGGTCAGCAATTATTAATTATGGTTACGAAAATTATTCGCTTTTCCTAGAAAATCAACAATATTGTATTAGCAAGAGAATAAATCTTTCATGAGGCTGAGCATGACTAGAACGTAATAAAGTTTCCAATACCTGCGCGACATTAGAGTAGTCGCTCGTATTCCCGCAGATACTGTAAATCTTTCCTGCACAGCTGATCATGGGGAACTCCATCCTAGATCGGTTCATTGATCTCAGCTTTTTCCACATGCCAGTTGATGCTTCGTATCTGGAGAATGTATTTTGAAGGTGTATGAGTTCTTATTTATCTACCTTATCGGACCTTATTTGGACGGACATTACTTGAACGCTGGAGGCCCTAGCGTTCATCTTAATGTCCGTTCAAATAAAGTCCGTTCAATTAATGTCCGTCCAAGTTAAAGTCCGTTGAAATTTTTTCAAAAATTTTTCCATTTCAAACTTTTTACCCAGAATATGACAACTATGAGAACTTTATTGTGCCGTAAGTTAACGACGGAAAGGTTCTCCTTGGTCTGCCGGAGGCACAGAAAACTTTACTAGTATATGATGTTTTCAAGGGTCACTTGGCGGAAAAAGTCAACAAAATCATGGCACTCAACAACATAGTTCATGAGCCAGTCCCCGCCAACATGACAAACTTGTTCCAGCCTCTAGATATTACGGTAAATCGTGTTGCCAAGGACATTGTCCGACGTTTTTATAGTTCATATTACTGAGGGGAGGTTATGAAACAGTGCTAGGAAAGCTCCACGTGATGTTAAGGTTAACCTAAAGTTGTCTAAGATAAAAACCACTTCACGCCGAATGGCTTGTAAAAGTTAACACTGAAATGCAGGACCGGGGTAGTTTGATAAAAAAAGGTTTCCACAAAGCTAGAAATCACTGATGCTTGTTTAAGCATGGACTATTTCATGCACGAAAACCCATTTAATGAAGATGATATGTGATATTAGACACTGATCATGTACACATATTTTAACATTTTTACTGCTTAATGACTGCTATTCTTACTTACTGTATAAAAAATGGATTAAAAAATCATTTGCTGAAATTAAAAAAAGGCCAAAAATTGAAAAAAATTCGGATTTTTGATGGTTTTGAATGCCTTCGAGCGTTCATATTAATGTCCGTTCACAATTATGTCCGTTCATGTAATGTCCGTCCAGATAAGGTCCGATAAGGTATGTTTAACGTCTTCTTATAAATTTATTGAGGGTTCTACTCACTGCTTGTGTAATGAATAGGCTCTACCACAAGCTGATATAAATGCAATCATCATGAATTGTTGATGAAGATTAACCAATAAAAATAAAACGTGTTTATTCCAGCTAGCACACACCAAACCCCCAATACCACGTACCTCTCAAATGTAGACTGAGTACTGGTACCGTCCCACCCGCCCCCAACGTAGATCCCACGGTACGTGACACAAACCCCCGGTTTAGTGGTACTGGTGATTAGAGGACTAACCGCTTCCCAGACCCCAGTCACTATGTTCAGTCTGTGTACCAACTTCTTCGGCTTTCCTGTTGCGAAAAATACGTGGCGATGAAGAAATATATATATATATATATATCAACAGTAACAAATCTAATTAATAGATAAGAGGATGAAGCTAAAAATTGATAGTGACGAATAGTTTGACAGTACCTGAGTTATCAGAACCTCCGATCACATAAAGGTAGTCCTCCATACAAGCTAAACTGCCCACATGAGGGGTGGTTGACATGAAGTCAGGTTCCGGCTGTTTAACCCACTCATCCTGCACTGGATCAAACATCTCCATCTTCAGTTTCGGGTGGGATAGCTCCGCTAGACTTGATCCTAACCAACATTTGGGTATTTAGAATTTTTGCAATATTTTGAATGCTAAATAAATGACAAATTGTTGCTGACTTATATTTTCAAAAAAATATGAAAGTTAATATATCTGCACCTGCCCCTCCAGCGATGTAAATCTTGTTATAATGCATGCCCTTTCGTAATGTTACCGGCCTCCTTAGTTCCGGAAGTGATTTCCGTTCTCTAAGAGCATCTTTCAACTGGTCTCTACACACAAGGGTAACTATGTCATCCCCTAGTCCCTCTAGATAGGACCGGGGAAGAAGGGGGTATCTGACTGTGGCCAGCATTTCTCTTCTTATCCTCTATTGGTTGCGGGTGTCATCATGGAGAACATTTTATAGTTATACCAGCGAGAGATAGAGTTAGACTATGATTATTTGATTGAAGGGTCTGTAGACTGTAACGATGTTACAGATATTGTTATGTAATAAAATAAATAGCATTGTACTAAAAATTAAAAAGAAGAAAAGGCAGTAACCTCTTCGCCGGCCGTCAGCGGCTTTACAGCCTCAACAATTTCATTTTCCTGGTCTGTGCTTGTCTCCATGCTATCTCCAGATGGTACAGGTTTGCAGTCTCTTAGCAGGTCACAGTGTTCCAGCCATGCTAACGCTCCCTTTTTGGGGTGAAATGAAATTGTAATTTTATTTCGAGAGCAAATCTGTTGGATGGTATTCTAAATGATAGTTCGTAATAAAATAATATGTTAATACTGTTAGATAATGTTAAGTAATCATTGATATTTTATTTTTCAATCATGGGAAAATAAGGTTTGACTTCGAGCGAACCTGAAGAACGATAATTTCCGTTTTGACATTGAGATCATCACTAGAAAGCAGATCGATTGCTTGGTTGGGAGGAGCTGATATAAAATCAACTGATTTCACCACCTCTGTGAATTGGGAGGATACCACTGTCAAAGCTGCGTTATATAACTCCTGGAGGGATGGTAATTCATTAAAACTGGAAATGAACTTTTAGAATTAATTATACTCAGTGTGCCGAAGCAAATCACACCAAAGCACAGTGTTGCAGGCTACTCGTCAGATGCTTCAAAATGATAAATATAAATGATGTAATTGTAAATGATACTGATAGTATAATAATCGAATTATTAGTCAAAGAGAGGATTGAATATACGAAACTGTAAGGTTTCGAGTTCTTTCTTCACAGACATGTTTTATTTGATGAGGACTACTACATTTTATAAATGTGAGTTGTAATATAACTCTGTTGATTGTTTATTTGTGTTGATATTATGGCTCACCCAACAATTCCACGTGACTCTGATTCTTTCCAACGAACTCTAGCCCTAACCATTACGTTGGAGGACTTAACGCCGCTTCGACGCGCCGCCTAAACTATCATTCTTGCTTCGCATCGAATATTCAACCCTTCGTAGATCTTTATTCTGCTTCGCAGAGCAACGAGCTCGAAGGTTTGACATCGTCAATCAACCATTGCGTAAATCTAGACCCATCCATAAACAGGCTTGTCAGATTGCGTGTTACTAAATAATAAATATCATTGAACGTGATGCACGTCACTGTCCTATGACAAATGTTTATTATTGCAAGTCGCCAATAATTTCAATCAAGATACCATTAATATGATCTGCTTACCATCATGTCTTAAATAGTCCACGGACTGGGTCGGCCTTCTTGGATACTACCGGGATCTCAACTGTGCCCTCATTTTATTTCGCCACTTAAGCAAAATTTATATTTGATACCCTTACAAAAAGATAGACGTGACACATGGTACATGAGATGAGCTGTTACGTCAACGTGTTTATAGTGCGTGTGGCTGCCATCACATTTAAGAGAATTACTTATATTTTGCTGACAGGATTACGGCTAGTTATGATCTCACTCTCAGTGCTGCACGCCGCCGTTTTTTTCTCTGTACTTCAATTCCTTCTGCCGAGCTTCATTTGTCCCATTCTTGAGACTGCTGTCCCTTCCCGTTTGCTATTAAGCTATTACTGCATTAGTCTATTGGTTCGTTGTTCTTTTTGTTTCGTAGATACCATAACTTCTCATGCAATTTAAATTAACACTGTTGACAGTGATTTATTGACCTACTATCTACATATTAGTTTGCAGACATTTGTGTCAATTAGCAGTTAATCATAATGTTCAGGTATATATCTAATATATATCCCATTTTTAATAAGATTGTACGGTCTTATAATAATTACTAATGTAACCCGTGCCTACGACCGGGACTTCACTATCGCGGTTGAATTAAGTAAAAGTATAAACGGTGCAAAATTTAATTCTGAGCGCCCAACAGGTATCCAATACCTAGTAATACTTAATAAGCATTCTTGCAGCTCCTGGCTCTATAACTGCCAAATTACCTAATTATATAATATATACCAAAGCTGTAATTAGGGGAGCTGTAAATGGGGAGAGATAGTGTGACAGAGAGAGAGTGTGAGAAAAAGTGAAACAATTTAGTACCACATTTGGGGTACAAAATCATCAATTAAACCACTTACCACCGGCTGATTTTTTTAAATTTGCTTTTTGGCTTTTTCAGAGTTTTGTCGAAACTATACCGAAAAAAACCAGTCCCATAACTCTAACTTTTTTCTTAATTAAGCCGCTCGGAAATTACACATGTACACACACACACAACCACACACCCACACATTTATTGGGTTTATTAGTACTAGCAGGAACCCATCTAACCCTAAAATGGTGTCAAGACTCAAGAGACTATAAAAACAACTATTACCTATTTAATTCGCGTTTTTGACACCACTTGGGGTACCAAATTTTGGGCTCTAAAACTCCTATTTCTTGGCCAATTTTTTATTTTTTCATGCTGATTAGGAGGCCATTAAAGCATTTGACCCAGTCAAAAAAGTTTCAGTTGTATATCTTTTACGGTTTTTGCAGAAATTCGCGTTAAAGTTGATGCCGTGGTGTCAGTAAAATGGCACGGATAAATATATATATATCGTCTCGCTTTATATAGTAAAATAGATGCTTTGTGGTGGATTATACTTTGGCGTGAGCCATGAACTATGAATCGATTTTTCATTAATTAAACTAAAACCTGAGAATTGACTAGTAACGAGCATAGTTCGATGCAAAGTTAAATCAAATGGGTGCCGAGAAAACCATTCCAATCACTTCTGTAGACTCAGTGATGAAAACGACTCTGCTCATCTCTCGAGAAAATGTCCTCAAGCACGCAGACTCTATCACGGAACTACAGCTGATGCAGCAATAGGTATCACAGAGGAGGGACTTAAATCTAGTCCAAACGGGACACTTGGTCCGGGAATATACTTCACTGAGACACATGAATATGCTCTAAACATTGCAAAGTATAGGGCAAATCAAGGTGGCAATTTGGATAATTGGGCAGTTATGGAGTGTAGGGTTAATCTTGGGGATGAGAAGACATATATTACAAAAAATGTCCATGGTGCTTGGGCGGGAATTAACAAACCCTTTGTTGAATATTGCTTGAAAGATGAGAATAAATGCAATGTAATCGCCAAGTTTGTTGAAAACGGGGAGTTTACGATAATTAGCGAAAAGGCCATTTCTCGACGAGTGGTCGTAAGACAGCTCAATTCAACAATTAAAACTATTTGTAACTCTTGTCTGTGTAAATCTATAATCTGTTTATTATATGTAGGCTTATTTATTGTCCAGGGAATGTTCGTTTATTTTATGTTTATTAAACAATTGATCAACACTAAATTCTGATATGAGGTTCTTGGGGTTCATGGATTTCTGGGATCTACTACAGTACTACTGGCACTGCAACTCGATTACTTATTGGAAACTATTCTAATTGTTGTAGTGGAACTTATTTATGTGAACGAACCGTGAATTGGAAACAAGGACATTTTTCCGGTTGACCCTACTAATAGTGGCCGGCTGTAGGACTGTAGAGCGGGGGACTCTAGAGCGGGGGACTGTAGAGCGGAATTGGTCGAAAGTATGACCCTAGAGCGGAGTCAAATCGCCAGGGTAGGACTCTAGAGCGGAATTCTTTTACCGGACCCATACTATGAGGACTCTAGAGCGGTACCCACATGCAAATTTTAGAGCGGTTAGAAATTTGAGAGCGGACTGCAAAGTGGACTTGGTCGGAAGATTGAAATCAGATTAGATACAACTCGTGATTGATTATAACAATCTTGACATTAGAATAAGTCATGGAGTTGTTGAAGCATAAAATTGTCCAAGATCGATTTATTTATATTATACATCATATCATATTGTAATTTTTAGATACGTTAGACAATTGTTTGGTATAAACTTCTTCCATTTGACTGAAATATCCTCATGCTACTCTTAAATGCAAAAAATTTCTTTGATAAAGAGGTATAATTATGAACTGGTCGTATCGATGTGATTTCGCTAAGCGAAATACCGACCAAGTACGTGCACTCAAGCAGATCATTTAGGAATGAGGATCTCATCGCGTGACACTTTAGCATCTACTAAGGGTATCTCATGTTCAGTCTGGTGACCGGGTATGATCCAGATCAGATCCCATCGCATAGCGGTTCTTGTTAGTGATTTCGATAGTGCAGTATAAATGTCACAGAGAATTTAGTTTTAGTATATCACATTCGATTTCTACTCTTCTTTACAAATATCTACAATATGCAGAGTAACAGTCATTCCTCAACTCCTCCTGAGAAGCCCGTATTCATCCGGGGACGAACAGCTGGCAGCGTTCACCTTGTTCTGCAAGGATTCCGATACGGAAAGGACGGAAAACCTACACAAGACGGCCGTCAATGTTGGCGATGTTTTCCCTTCTTTCATGGAGCTCCTAGATCTCATCCCCTCCAACCTTGGCCTCGACTACTTCCTTAGCTACTTCTCTGTTATTTTTAATGCTCCCATGTGGATGTAGCCTTGAGTTCAAACATTTGTCAGTGCAACCCTCTGATTTAACAGGAATTTTTACTGAGGGAGGATGTTCTCATAGACTACTGATATTTCTTTGTTTCACTGGGGTGGCGAACTGGTAAACCTTTACCATTGTAATGGGGACTGGACTGCTAATATTAATAACGATCTTTGGGTTTTTGTATAGAATTGATTGCTACTTAAATAAAATGCAGACTTTCTGATTTTACGATCGTATATTTTACGATGTGTTCCTATAAAAAGGAATGTTATATAATATTATATTGTTTTATATAATGTCATGTTGTGTTGCTAATATTGATTATAAAATAATGGATACGCAATTGTATAACAGAGAAAAGAACAGCAAAATTTTGACAATTACCTGGTTGTTGTGCATGTCACCAAGTCTGAGCGTGTAAAGAGAATTGTAGGGAGTCAGGGATCGGAGGAGGAATTTACAGCACAGATTCACTGCTTCGGGAATGTCGAACAAGTCAGCCGCGTACAAAACGTGCTCAACCAACTGCGAAGTTATTGCACTGTTATTTTATGTAATGTTGTTACTGTGTTTCATGACTAATAATTGGTAATGACTAAGGGGCTTTAATGTAACTAGAATTGCTCGGTAGATTAAAAAGGATCTTAGTTAAAGAACATAGGATATTTGAATATCCGATGAACAAGCAGCAAATCTTTGAATTATAAGCGAGATTTTCACGTAATAAATTTTATTACATGAAAATCTCCCTTATAATTCAGAGATTTGCGTCTTATATTTGACCACACGTGTAAATTTGCAAAGAGAAACTGTGTGGAAACAGGAATGTATGTAAGGATCATCTTACTGACTGTAGAAAAGAAGCAACTGTTCATCGACTGGTGAACGATTTGATCAGATTTGAGATTAGTACTGGCGAATGGCAGATTTCGGACGTATATTCATTTGACGAGGATTAAATAAAAGCTTGGCACGCAGATTGCTGCCAAATTACGGACTATTCACTATGCAATCAGTCGAATACTTGTTGGAGATCATTTAGCCTAATCTAAAAATTGAGGATTATCAAATCTTAGGACCAAATAATCTGGGAATCGCACGATGGTTACTACTGATCTGTAAGTCGTTGTGATTATGGATATGTGTTTAACCAAGCATCACCAATTACCAAAATTAACATCTAAATTCTAATTGGACATAACTGTGGCTGCGATCGGTTAAATTATAAGCAGAACATAGGTATCGATAGAATGATTAAGTATTTATGCTAACAGTTTTAAGGTTTATGTGTTTTATGAAAATAAAAAACCTACCTGATCATCTAGCTGGATCTCTCCACAGTAAATGTACTTGATGAGGAGCTCAGCTGCTCTTGGGTCAACAGTTTGGATCTCTATCGGGTCATCTTGGCTGCTCTCCCGCAATCCTGACGTCAACATTGTGGAGAAATACCTGACAAGTTATACCTGATAAATTAGATATCATCAAATATCACTGTAATTTTAAGGTGAAGTCAAGCAACAATTCATTACCTGCATGCTGTATATGTGTCGGCTGATCGAAAGGTTGGTTAAAAAGTCTTTCAAGCGACTTTTGACCAACATTTCACTCGACTGATGTGGAGTGGTAGACACATATACTGATATACCCTGAAATATATTGACAGTTACCTGCTGCCAGCACACAACACCACCCGGTGGGACTTGATAAGTTTGTCTCCAACCTTCAGTACCACGTCACAGTACAGCTCGTCATCCCACAGCTGACGGAGGTGCTTCAACATCTGATAAAACGGTACATTGATTAAATGTTAAATATCAATTAACAGTAGATTTAGAGTGTCTTCGAACAACTAACAGTCGTGAGTCGAGGTTAATTATTTGAAACCTCAAATTTGTAGTACCCTAACCCTATAACTATAACCCGGCCCGAAGCTATCCATAACCCTTATCACAACCTTAACCCTAACCTGAGCCCTAAACAATCGAATCCATGTTTTACTAGCCTGTCACGTGACCAAAACGGTTTTTTGCCCATAACTCTCCAGGGAAGCATTTTACCTTACGTCATGGGGGGTGATTCGGAATCAGCGTCCAAAAATGTAGATCAATTTCATACCCAAAGGGCCTTTTCACAAGAATTTTCTTAAAATTTGGGTGAGCGTTTTAGTAGGAGCGCAAAATACCTGATGTTATTTGAACTACAAACCTTGGTGCCATGTTCCTCCGAGTACATTACAACAGTAGAATTGACAAGCTCCATGATAGAGTCTGCTAACGAGCTGTAGAACTCTGTCACTCTTCTATTTTAGTTGTATTCCCTGTATCTAGCATCTACATGCCCTGTTTCTAAGCTGAGGGACCCACATTATTCTTAAAGGTTAGTAAATATTTTTCATATTTATTCAATTATTTATAATTTTGTTTAATTGAAATCAAAATTATGTTTTAAAGTTGTCCAAAATAAATAAATGGATAATTGATTCGTGCGCACTGTGCTGAATAGCTGTAACATTTTGACTCTTGGTCTAAGGGAGAGGCGTCAGGAGGTCTCGATAAAACATGTATGTTTACGAAGGTTTTTACTTTTACGAAATCAGGAAAGTATCCGGTTTAACTTCAGCCTGGTAAATAAAATCGTTCAAAATTTATCACCCTGTAAATGCTCAGAACTGAGAACTAAGAGTATCATTGCATATTAGATTTATTAATATTAGACGAAAGTTATCGTTGCCTTGCTAAGTAAACACACTGATCTTTACATACTACATAGTACTACACGATGGTATTTGATTTTGTCCAACTCTGAGCTAGAGAGTAGAGACATGATAGTATTTATTCAGCTCAGGGATGTTCATCATCCTGGTTGTATCCATTTTACATGGACTGAATAAATATTTACATTATCCATGCAACACGCCACGTGAACTCTGAAAAGTAACGCAGTTATTGTAACGTCTACAAGCTATTTTCTTTCATATATTAGGACACAATTATAAATTTATAAACTGTGGCAGCAATGTGGCAGCAAAGCAGGGTAGTGCTATTTTTATTTTGCACTCGGTATTTTCGACCTTTGATTGGGAGTTATAACTGTTGCTTTATTCGCTATAACTGTCAAGCTATCATTAATCATTCCCATGATCTTATTTCCTTCTTATAAATTGATGTAGTGCAACGTTTCAAGGCACTTGTATTGCATAGACCTTTTGGCTGTGGTGCTAACTAGAAAAGTCTCTCAACTTTACCAGTGTCCTACTATTTTCTTGTAACATCACAATACTTAAACAGTAATATTGAACTATTATCTAAACCTACATGCTGTCTGTTCTTATTTGTTCGTGTCCAAGTCTCATTTAACTTATATTCAGATTTTAAACGTGATTTCTGTTCTATTAACACTTATTCGTACATTTAAGCTGAACTAAAAATATAAAGCACTTACTTTAAGCTAAAAATGAAGGTGGCCCTTGTTACGCTTTGCTTGGTGTTGGTGGCAGTTCATCAGAGTGATGCTATTATAAAATGTGTACAGGGTGACGGGACGGATACGACTCCTAAAGATTGTGGCGCAAATGACATTAAATGCCACCAGTAAGTGAACTTTGTTCGGACGAAAACTTTGAATTTTCGATGTTTTGTTATATACCAATATTTATTATATGCCAATATTTGTTTTATATACCAATATTTGTATACTAATAGCAAGACCAAAAGAGTGCTTTAGAATCTTGCCACAATTTATTCTATAACTTAACAAAATAATTTCTTTCAGGCCTAAGTTTGTTCAGTACACAGGGATGTCAGCAGGTGTGACTTATGGTTGTGGGGAATGTGTCGCTAACACGGATGCCACTTGTGAAGCCTGTACCGGAACAACAGTTGCTGCCTGTAACATAAAGAAAGAAACAGGTGTAGAGTTCAAGTGTCACGACTATGAACTGCTGGAAGATGCAACTAAGCTCACACCCAAGAAAGAATCAACCACCTGCCAAAGACTCAAAGCCACTACTATCATGTGCAACATGCCAGGACCATCTTCCGACAAAACTTACAAGTTGGCGAACAAGGGATGTGGTCCATGCAGTGCTGCGGACAAGACAGCAAAGACGTGTGTAGAGTGCGACACAGCTGAGTGCAACAGACCACCAATCATGTGCATCCAAGGATCAGATGGTGCTGCTGCTCCTACAGTTTGTGCAACAGAATCTGGAAAAGCTCCAGCCGCCAAGTGCCATCAACCAAAGTTCATTGAATACACCGGATTGGCAACCGGCCAGACCTACGGATGTGGAGCTTGTGATACCAATAATGCCAACTGCCAAGACTGCGATGGAAACTCAAAGACTGCCTGCCAAAAGACCGCAGAGACAGCTGCAGACTTTAAGTGCTACGACTACGAGGTCAAGGACGATAAACAGGTGATGAAGGAGACAGCAGTTACCTGCAAAAGACTCAAAGATACTGCCATCAAATGCCACATGCCTGGAGAATCTGCCGATAAGACCTTCAAAGTTAATCAAAGTGGATGTGGACCATGCACAGCTGAAGACCTTAAAGCTAAGAAATGCGCGGAATGTACGACTGCTGAGTGTAACAAGATGTCCTCTGCTTCAACTCTCACCGCATTCCTCGTACCCCTCCTTGCCACCCTCTATACCCTCTTGTAAGAACATGTTGGAAGTTGCTTTAACTTGGACAGAAAAAGAAACACTGATTTAATGTTAAGGGTCCTATTTTCAGAGCTTTATTTCCAGTATTATACAAACTTGATTATCTATAAAATACTCGGTATAACAGGTTGTAAGGTTTGCATTTTGCATCATATTGGTTAATAATTTTTAATCATATTGGTTAATAAGGTTTGTCCCCATATTATAGACATGGCATAAAGTTTTTTTTTTATCTGAGACTTGATATGAAAGAATTTTAATTATTATAATGATGTTAGTGACAAAGTAAAATTGAATTAAGGTTTTTATGGAGTTGGTGGATTTCTTTAGTTTATATCAATTTTGATAAATTATATAAAAAATCTAAGAAAATCTCTTTCAATTGTATCAAACGTTATTTCCGTTGTCCCTGAAATCTGCATAGATTCTAAAATATATCATTACGAATTTCATTTTCAAACAGTGAATAATGATGAATACTGCAATCTCTAAACTTCCAACCGAAGTTAAATTAATGACACAAGCTCCTTTTACACACAGACACACAGACACACAGACACACAAGGCCACACACACAGCCACACACACAGCCACACACACAGCCACACACAGCCACACACAGCCACACACAGACACACACAGCCACACAGACACACACAGACACACACAGACACACACAGCACACACAGACACACACACAGACACACACACACACACACACACACACACACACACACACACACACACACACACACACACACACACACACACACACACACACACACACACACACACACACACACACACACACACACACACACACACACACACACACACACACACACACAGATGTAGGTATAATTTGACGGAAGGTTAAAATGGCCACATACAAACCTAAAGAACGAATATCAAGCGAATAACGTAGCTTGTATAGATAATTCACAGAACCGTCATTACAATCTGTAGGAGCTGCAGCTTATTCCTTTTAAGGTTTAATTAATAGAGCCGCCATGGGAGAAGATAAAGCCATTACACTGATTAGACCACCGCTGATGGGTCCAGCTAACATTATGTTGCATGTCTCAACTCTCACTAGAAAATACACCAAATGTGAGGTTTCTCATCGACATTTTCCATTTTCTTTTAATTGTAAGTGGCGTTTATGAAATTAAAAACCAAAAGGAACCAGCTCCATCAGAGAAACGATTTTGTCGAAAGAAAATGTGAAACGTTTGCTCACCAACTCACATATTTTAGTAAAACAATACAATTTGGTCTAACTTTACTCTTCAGAGTTCAGATACGAAATAAAACACCATGCACATTGCACCTGCTAATCATAAGCACCTGCTAATCATAAGGAATGGGTAATGTACACCACTATACACTACTACTACTAGTACTACTACTATACACCACTATACAGTTAACACTACTATACATAACAATGTAAAGAAATAGCTGGACATCCTAGTTTAAGAAACAGTAACTAAGCAGTTACTAAGCGGTTACTTAGTGGTTACTAAGCGGTTACTAAGCGGTCAACAGGCGGTTACTAAGCGGTTACTAAGCACACAACGAACACAGAGCAACACAGTGTGCTATAAATCTTGTGCCACGAACTCTTCTACACGGAAATCACTCCACTAACTGCCTCCCCACATCCAGCCAATCAGATAGCTTTAATCTCATCGTGTGACTCATAACAGCCAATAGGAGGCCAGGGAATCAAATTTACCAGGAGGAGCCTATGTGTCTAATTCCAATGATTAATACTTATGGCTGGTTATGCCATCTTGGATGCAACCAATGTATTCTTTATCCCTCACTTGAATATACCACATAATTATATTTGAGTAATAATATATTTAGCAATAGCACATGAAAGCATCAGAACATATATTTTCAAAATCTATCACATATAAAACTAGTATTCGCATGATAACACCCAAATTATATATCTTATGAATTAGTAACAATTTAATTTTTAAAGCAGGGACATTAAAACTGCTAGTGCTACCTGAAATAATATTGAGTGTAGAGGAGGGGGCTAAAAACGACACGACCTTTTTTAGGGGCGCAGATGGTAACGTTATATCAAGTCACTGAGGTCTGAGTATGAGCATGATAGTGTGAAATCGTGTGAGGAACACACTGAGAATCTATAATGCTTTATTGGCGTACTCGCTGTTCTATCTGCAATGGCTCGTGCGACACTTCAAGGAGTATTTCAATTTCGAATGTCCCGAAAAATATCAGAGCTCTAACTTAATTTTAACATGATTATGGCGACTTATATTATGGTATTTTCTGAATTTCGTATACAGTGCTGGCGCGTATTGAACGAAAAATTCATATAAATCTTGACATGACTATTTTTATTCCTGTCATCTTTATGGTATTGGTAAACGTTTAAAAAAAGGCTAAAAAGCTCCAGTCACGCTTGCCAGCACTAAATTATCTATTTAATTAATAGTGTGGAGAGTGGTTTATGTAATAAGTAAATTAATTTAAACGATGAATTTCAACAGATCACACCCTCATAGAATTGTGAATTAAACCACTTTTACCGTTATTATGACGCATATGATATGTTCCGACTTCCGTCTACGTAAATGGTTAATAACTGCCCGCAATTGATATGTACAATACTGAATACGATATTACCTGGGGATCCTAGGCTTAAGTGTTCAAAAACACAGATCGCGGAATGTATAGTGGATTGACAAGCAGACGCCGTCCAGTAAAAATAAAATACGAACTCCACTATTATATTTGTGACATTCAAATTCAATTTCTTTGAAATCAGCTCTTGATGCTCCGGACACTAGCTTTGTGTTTATCTTTGAGAGTCGTTTTTATCCTACACTTACACATTATCGGGATTATTTCAGGAATGTAAGTGAAATTATTTCTATAATTATGTTCACTTAAACAGCAGATCACCTCACAAATCAATTTTTGCACAGACTGATAATATCTAAAATAATCAATTTATACTAATAATATTTACTTTGATGAAAACTGGAACCTGTTAAGACTACGAGTACAGTGTAAGATGAAGTAGGTGTGTGTGTGTGTACTCAGTACACATATACACCTACTTCATCGGACCTAGAATTTATTTTAATGTCCGTTCAAAATTATTTCCGTTCACGCAATGTAACGTCCGATAAGGTAGTTACACCTAGTTTCATCTATAATTACTGAAGCGTAAAACCAGTGCTTCACCTTCACCCTTACACACATCATGGAAGAGAGTTATTTCGTGGCGTTACTACCCTCCCTTTTACTACACAAATATCAATTAGCCAACGACTATAACTCCCTTGTAAGACATCTCCTGATGAGACCTTACTACCACAAACTACGAAGGTAGTCATAGCTTGGTACATCTATTTGTCTTCAGCTAATTATCAACTAGTTTGTTTGAACGAGGATATTGAGGATGAATCTCAGATTCTTTATAATCATATGTTATCGATTGAATAATTATTTACACATTTAGATGGTTCATCCTCCTCAGGCTCAATTATTGATGTCAGCTTCGAGCTCTACATACAAAATAACATTTAATTCTACGGCGTCAACTTTATTTAATCCAACTATATATTAATGCTTTTCAAACAAAGTTACAACGAATTCTTCATGTAATGTATCGTGGAGTTGAAGCAGGATATTGAATGGGGCAGTCATGTATTGTCCAAGCACTCCTGAATTGATTGCAAATCATCTGAACATGTTAACTTCGTTGTTCGGTCGGTGTTTATTATCTTTCTGGCTCTGCTATTGATACCAGTACCACCTGTCTCTATTGCCCTAGAACTTAACTTGAGACGGTCATATCTTTAAAAAACATTTTTTCACAAAATTATTGTATTTTACAGAGCCCTTTATTAGGGTTTGAGTTTACCTGGGGACCCCAGGCTATCATGTTCATAAACATGATAGAATAGAGATTCGGAGGAATGACACTGACAGGCTGAGCGCCGCCCAGTATTAGTAAGGTTTGAGTACGATTCAACTGTAGCAAACAATTCTCTCACCTACAAAAAACAATTAGTAACGATTAGTAACGATTAGTAACGATTAGTGACGATTAGTAACGATTAGTAACGATTAGTAACGATTAGTAACGATTAGTAACGATTAGTAACGATTAGTAACGATTAGTAACGATTAGTAACGATTAAGTACGATTAGTAACGATTAGTAACGATTAGTAACGATTAGTAACGATTAGTAACGATTAGTAACGATTAGTAACGATTAGTAACGATTAGTAACGATTAGTAACGATTAGTAACGATTAGTAACGATTAGTAACTTATAGCCATGAAGTTAGTACTCCTATTCACGACCTTAGCCGTGCTAACCACGGCTGTGGCTCAAGAAGAACACCCAGACTGCAAGTACCATGGCGAGACCTACAAGTTCCAGGAAAGTTGGCCCAACAACTGCGCGCGCTGCACGTGCTTACAGGCTTCTACAGTGATTTGCGGTCCAGACGTAAGTATTTTTTGATTAATTTACGAAAAATAGCACTTTGTGGATTTATTGCGATTATTGATAAAAATAAGTACCTATCACAACTTTCTCCTTAAAAATTATCTTTTCCATTGCCGATAACACTAAAATTGTTAAATTAGTCAATGAAGAACGATTCTTGCTAGATTAGAATATGCAAAATCTTTCACTTCCACTTTTTGGTTTTGTTAGGGCCAGAAATCCATATGAGGTACCACTGTGTCACTACGTGGTTAAATTTCAACACTACCAGGAAACTAATCGCTCAATTAACCAATTAACAAATCATCTAATCAACACTTATGTGTCCAGATCTGTTCAACGTGCAAGTACGGAAGTCCTACCATGTACTATCCCCATAAGGGATTCTTCCTTGACGGCTGTAAAACTTGCGAGTGTTATGACGGGATTGTCTCCTGTACTAAAGAAACTGAGGTGTTTAGTTAGATAATATAGAGAAAATCTTTGAAAAATGTCTTTAAAACATTCATAATTTACTCATTAACTCTATTCAGATTGTCCAGTTTAATTGGCCTCTGTGTTAAATAATTTAAGCGCAATTTTTCCAGATTAATTTAAACACAACTTTTCTCTAATAAACCAAACTGATCAGTTATATAATTCTTTTATGTTCAGTTGTGCGAGAAACAGGCAGCAGAGGAGAACGCAGCAAGAATAGCAAAAGAATTAGAAGAGATAAGTGATGCGGATCTGAGATTGTAGAGGTTCACCTGGAGAGGCAAATTTAGTTGATTTAGAGAAGACTGGCGAAGTTTTAGGAAAGATTTGAGTAGTTAAACGGAAAAGATCGACAGATTTATGAAAATTAAATTTTGTTAGTTTCGAAGTTTGTGAGAATATATAATACTTGAATGCCTGCATTGTGATTTGCGAACAGTTTTGTGCTTTTGATAAGTGCATCATAGCGAATATTGGGAATCTTTCAGTGAAAATTACTTTTATAGATGAAGATGAGTTTTCATTGATTCTCTCATTAATTCAATTCGAACTTATTTCTAAACTTAATAAACCCTGAGTTTTAAACTCAGATAGTGTGTAGATCCTGGGATAGGAGTTATCTAGACATGTTTGTATAAATCCAAATAATGATACGCTGTCCTACGTTACTCTTATCTTCGGTAGTTTAATGATTATAATCGAGTTGTGGTGTCACATTGAATATAAGGATCAAGGTCGCGTATTCGAATTCTAATTCTGGCTGATGGTTCATATTCCAGTCTGTTGACAAAGGATATAAATACATAACTTCTTTCGTGTGGGAAATCCAATAATCCCATTGATGAAGGACCGTCCCACCCATGAATTAGCCCCTGAGATTGGCCTCCTCTAGACCTATAAGCCTATACTAAGTGAAACGCTGGCAAGATCCGAAGATCAAAGAATAAAAACAACGTGGGGATAAGGTCGACCTCATTGAACCTTTCATTAACGTTCCAACTAATATGCGAAGTAAAAGAATCAACATCACGTGACCAAAAGCGACGGTCAGGTGAACCAACTAATGGTCGAGAATCCGATGAAGAAATCTCATAATCTCATCGGCCAGAAGTTTGATGAGGTAAAAATACCACGCCCGTAAAATCGGAACTCATACTGTATTTGACGATTGAATTGTTGACTTCATTCTCTTATCTCTGAACTTGTCTTATCTCAGACCTCAGGGAGCTGCTGAGATTGGCCATGTTGGTTCTCTTCTTTTTATCACTGATTGGAACAGGTTTGCTCTTTCATATTATAAGGATTTCAAACAAAATACCTTAAAGAAGTGAGATATAATCGTTCTCATTCAGAATATCGATGAAGTTAGATTTACTGCATTTACATACTGCTCTTACACATTAGAAAGAGTACATATAAGTGCGTTCATAGTTTCTTGTTCATCACAGGTTTTGCCGGTTTGAAAGGGTACTGTTCACTGTATAAAGGAACTATCGAAATACTGAAACGTCCTCCAAAAGAGCTGAAAGTCAACCTCGGAGATCGGGTAAGAATATTAGAAATACCGTTATATCACGAGTTATACATTAATTATGATTAATTATTGATAACTGACCACAACAATCACGGTATGATCTGAGCAATTTCCTGCTAATACAAATTTGACCGATGAAATTGCACTGCAATTACTATTAGTCTGCAAACTTAAAATTGATTTATAATTATTGAAGTTCATAACTCACAATGCACACGTGACCCCCACACGTGACCCCCACACGTGACCCCAGGTTTCAATACTTTGTGCAGCACATGGGCACGGCATGTCAGACCCTTACGTTTACTGGATCAAGGGACTCGGACCAGGATACGGTAGAACCCTCTCTTTAACTTTCAACTTTCAACAAACAACTTTCAACTCATAAGTCTTTAAACAATGATTTTATTTAAGCTTTTAAGGTCGGATATCTGACGACTACACAAACTAACGCAGTCTCATTTTGTCAGAGGAGAAAGGGAAGAACATGGGGCCGGTAGCAGTGGGCAAATCTACCCTGTACATAGAAAAAGTTACTGAAGATGACATCGACACCTACAGGTTGGTCATTGTAACAATCGTTCTTGAAGTTGCAAGTATTCGACCAAACAGGCCGAAGTATTGTGTGTGACAGTTTAAGTTTAGTTCTTAATCGTAAACCGTTTTTTAATTACCCAGATGCGTGGTTAAGGACTGCTGTTCGAGCAAACAGGAGAATATGGATGTAGACATTCATGTCTCAGACGAAACTTGTGAAGGTAATAACTGACACAAATTAGCATCTTCGTATTCGAATTGCACATAATTAGCTAATTAATTAATTATTAATTAACATTCTCCTCTTTGAGGCTAACCGTGTCCAAAACAAGCTTCAATTCAATGTAATTATAAATCACCGTTAACAAAAGTTAATGTTGATGGTTAATAAGACCTCCCTGTCTCAGATGTGTACGGGTTGGGAGCTGTACTGTATGGAGCTACCTGGGAGTTTAAGAACTGGACCGCTGCGGTCCAGTCCTGCAAAGACATGGGAATGCGGATAGCCTTCCCACAGAACCCCACAGAGAACGCGAAAATACTTCAAGATATCCAGGCTTCCTTTACCTCTCACCCTAATGCTAGGAAATATGCTCACGAAAATTGGGTTAGAAAACGTTTTGAAATAAATTTCACATCTTCAAACTACGATATTCAGCATCATACCCGTTTGAACTTTACGATCAAATATTTTGTTTTTACTTAACACACAACGGGTAAAAACAAGAATTGACAGCATGCTGTTATGAACGTAATTAGCAACCCAATTATAAACGTTAATATAAGTGTAATTGGTAACATTATTATTTACGTAAACGTGTAATCATAAGTGTATCACTGTCAAGTTTCAAAAAGTTTTAAACTGAATAAGATGGTCTGCAATCTGCAATTAGTACAAATGATCCTAAATCTAATGTATAACACGTAGATGCTATTTACTAAATAAGAGGATTAAAACTTACAAAATAGTAAACGATTTGTTAATCGTATTAAACTAAAAGGCTTTAAAACGATCAAAAAATCGCCAGCAACAAAGCCAAATTGTTCATGTCAATGTCTCTTGTTTTACAAATACTGTGTCCTCGGTTGAATGTCACACAGTCACACTGTAGAGTTGCACGTTTTCCCGTCGTGATAGAACTTGAAGTGAGACTGAGAAATTAACCGTTCCGTCACTGTTGCCTCTCCTGCAGAAATATTGATGAAGAAAACAACGAGTGTCAACCTGACTTAATATGATATACTGTTCAATGTACATATATGTAAACAGTTGCTTGACTCAACCTATTTCTACATATCGTTGTTTATTATTATTATCAGAAAAAAATATCGGTATAGAAAGTAAACCACATTATCTTCAATAATCAATATGCTGGAGCAAATCTTAATTTCAATCCCCAAATCTATAACTCTTTCCTATTCAAATCCTAAGAGAACATTTTGGTATCGTAGAGTATTATGTACACTGTAAAGTGTAAATACATTCTACATTGTTTTACTTGCCACTTGTCAGGTATGGATAGGTGGACACGACACAGCAGTGGAAGGAGAGTGGAGAGAGATCAGGACAGGGGAACTGGTCAGCTGGTTCAACTGGGAGTACAGTCAACCTGACAACTGGACTAAGGGAGACAAACATCTTGCAGGTCTATTCTTAACATTATCTTAACTATAAGTATAAGGGCCATGCAAACTGAATCCGTCACATTTACACTTTAAAAGCTGACAAGTGAAATCTTGTGATCCGAACTGACTAAACTCAGCCCCTCGCTAAACTCTGCCCCCTCTCACAGGTCAGGATTGTGTGGGTATCAGGAGAACAAACGGTAAATGGGACGACTCCTTCGTTCACCACGAACGACCTTATGTGTGTGAATGTCCAGATAAAGAAATAAAGATGAAGAATTAGGAGAAAACTAAAAAATGGGAGAGTAAGAAAAAAGAAAAAACAATGTTATGCTGTTTTTAGTCGGCAAGGACTTCGATTCGATTTTACGATTTTGCAATTTTTATTGTGGCAATAGAAATGTATATTGTTAATTGTATAAATTATATTTGTCAATGTACATGAAATTATATCAACAAATTAAAGCAATTCATATTTATTAATTTACTAATTTAGATATACTGCCGCCATCTTTAAAAAAATTTAGCGGCAAATAGCCACGAATTAAATTGATTTAACAAAAATCGGGTATTAAGATCAAAACGTGAAATAAATCGCTCCTACTAAATCGCTCGCCCAAATTATAAGAAAATTCTTGTGAAAAGGCCCTTTGGGTGTGTTATTAATCTCGATCGGTGTATTTTTGGACGCTGATTCCGAATCACTCCCATGACGTAGGGTAAAAATGCTACCCTGGAGAGTTATGGGCAAAAAACCATTTTGGTCACGTGACAGGCTAGTAAAAAATGAATTCGATTGTTTCTAGGGCTCGGGTTAGGGATAGAGTTGTGGTAAGGGTTATGGATAGCTTCGGGGTTATGATTAGGGCCGTTAGAGTTGGGATTAGGGTTTATGTAAAACCGTTTTGTACGGCTGCAAAACCATAAAAACCAAAGTCACGTGAAATTTTCGGGCGAGCGAATATAATTAGTAAGAGCCGAAATAAAAAGTAAATTGCTACACACTATATATTTCTTTTTGTAGCGCGATGCACTCGATCCTTCGCATCTTCTCTTCGGTAGATCGACGATGGGCGAGACGCACCACTGGGCCTCGCCGAGCTTTAACGGGTGATACTCGTAAAATATCTGTTCCATATATTGGACCGTCGACGAGTCCAACTCGGCACGCGTCCTGGTAGGTTATAAACCTACAACGCCGAGCTGTGAAAGACAAAAGATTGACAATTGACATCGTGAATCAAACTTCTTTCGTGCTTCTAAAACGTGCGCGGCGCCGTGCGCTTTAATTGTTAATTACTAAGCGGTGCTCAACCTGTCATTCCACCTAATTTCTATTTATATATATATGATTATGATCAACATAAATAAAATAGCCTGGGGTCCTAAGGTTTCACCTAACCAATAAAACTATGTCCGTTCTTGTCTTACGTTGTATGACTGCTACTAACTGCTGCTCACTGCTGCTCACAAATGCTATCGCGACAAATGCTTTCGCGCCACTGCGGGCGCGCTTGTTGACCATTGTTAATGATCTGGCCCGGCGCGCGCTACTTCGTAGCACTTGCCTTCGAGAAGAAAGCGGCGCGCGCTACTCCGAAGAAATTTAGACGAGTAACATCCGTCAAGCGCGCTTGTCATGGGAGGCGGGCGCGCGCCACTGCAAGCGCAATAAGGGCTCTGGATCATAAATAGATCAAAGTGTTTGTGTTAAGTGATAATTTATATTTGGTTATAAATCTACAATTCCTGATATAAGGAGTTATGAGCATCAAAATAATCGGAATCAAACGATTTGCCATTTTCAATTATTTCTTGAAACTTCGACAGTCCTACTAAGTGTACTTCATCGAAAGGAGCAATTTGGCCAAACACGATGTGACAATGTTTTTGAGCGATGCGTTAATACCCCGCACCAAATAATTCAAACTTTTAGCAAAAAATATAAATTTTTCCTTTATTTTACAGTCATAAAATAGAGGATATTTATAATTTAATTTTTTAAACATCTTTCCATGTCTTTTAATGCATTTATTCAAGTCAATATGCCGCACTGCCATTCTAAAACTAATGTAACTTATAATAGAACACTTTGCCTAATTTAAAATATCCGGTTTTTTCTTTAATAATAGAGATTGTTACTAATGTCCAATCAGCTTTTGAAAATCTATTAAAACTAATTTCGTACGTGTAATAACAATACGTTCTAAACGTAACGGTACTCCAGTCCCAGCGTATCGCATAATGTATGCCCGGTAAGCGCGCACTACTATAATAACCAAGCATAAGCCCTCAAACCGAATTCAAAATTTTGCTATGGTGCACCAATCACTATGCCAAACAAATAAGATGTATGATTCAAGTAAGTGCCACTATACTTATAGCGAGCCCATGTCAATCTATTCCACGTCAACATTAAAATAACACCCGTTAATTTGATTTCCTAACCGACCCTAACACCTAAACCTAACCATAACCCTGACCCTAACCTTAAATCTAACTCTAACCAATAAATGAACATACTGATGTTTGTAGCGCGATGCACTACTGGGTCGCGCGCGCATCAAATAATGCTTTTCGCAACCACTTCGGTAGATCGGCGAGATGCACCACTGTGCCTCACCGAGCTGCGAAGGATTGACATCGTGAATCAAACTGATGTGTGCCCATTTTCAATTTTAGTGTTTCTTTGTATCACGTGGTGACCCCCACGGTCGCTTCACTATAGTGTAGCGTCTTCGACGCTACAGGGGAGCCGCGCACTTCGTGCGCGGCGGGTCATACAACGTATGACAAGTGTTTCTTTGTAGCGCGATGCGTTACTGGGCCGCGCCGCGCATCCAATAGTGAAACAAATTTTTAGTGAAACAAATTTAAAATTTTATCCTTTATTTTACAGTCATAATATAATAATATTTATAAGCCTCCGTTTTGAAAGTTTTAAATTTTAATACATTCACATTTCTATTTAAAATTCAATTTTATGTACAAGTCAATAACTGGCCGCCAAAGCCGCGCATTCTTGAAAACAGGATTAACTTGATTATAGTTATACGACTATGTAAATTTAAAACTATCCGTGGTTTTTTCTTTAAAATAAATAAGTTATAATTTTACCTAAGTCCAAAGCCAGCTTTGAAAAATTTACTATTAAATCATAATATATCGTCAACTTTAAATATTTACAATGCAACAATTCATTAATCTGTAAACACGCGTACTCCAGCCCCTAAACGCATAAATTGTTATGCGGCGCGGCTCAAGCCGCGCACGCACGTATTATTTTATACTGTTTGCTTTCTAATAAATATCGTGCCAATGTGTACGTCTAAATTGTAAACGTTCATGTTTTGTGTAAAGTGAATCCAATTGGGACTAGTGACAAGGATAAGGACCCAAGTGCCTGTACGGCTTTTTCGGACCCCTGTGGACCACTACTCTTGAAATCACTCTACAACATTGAACATCTATATCTACTACGTCATTTGGCAATTATTGTCATTAATCTATCTTTCTAATTAATTGCCGAGGGGAAAGAGTAAACGCTTCACATTAAAATTCAATATACAAAATTCAAAACCATCAATACGGTATTAAATATTGTGGACAAATCTATAGATCTATTTCGTAGTCATATATTCACATGATTTGCTTTATATTATCTTAATACTGTAATGAAGCACAGTAAGATTTGTGTTTCGAGAAAGAAAGGTTGCGGTCAAATTATTAACAAAAGTAAACAAAAGTCCATCAGGGACTCCGTGGAGTTGAAAAAGGTACACGGCCGCTGTCTGGTGCTGCTAGGCATTTATTGATCAAGATGTTTTATTGTATTGATTTATAATGATTCTATTGTTCGTGACTAATCAAGTTCTAAGTGGAGGTATAAAGTGCTGCTTAAGATACTTCGTCATCTCATGTCCAGTATAATGATTAAGATAGTATACAATGCAGTTTTAGTAGTTGACCCATACAGTTAAGTCCGTCATAACTCACAATCGTTAAGTCGTCGGTCAATTGTCAAAGTCGTTGTGTGTTTATTCGTTGAGATAGCAGTAAGATAAGATGTTACGCGCGCGCGCGTTTAATCCCGTCGACGTGAGATGTGACAATGAAAACGCCATAGAATTATTATTTTCGCGCGTTACGTAGAGTTTACCAGTGTGTAATACTAGTTAACACTGGGTGTACACTGAGTGTAAGTGTAAGTAAAGTCAAAAGTAGAGCGCATTTTCATTTGAGTTCAATTTGGAGTCGAGCGCTACTTTATAGCTTTATATATAGCTCGTTTCAAAAACAAATTTGCATTTCCTTAGTTTGTCTGTCGGTTACGTGGGTATTCGTATTTTGTTTAATCGTGTATCCGAATTCTCTTCATTTATTTTATTAAATTCTACTGGATTAACAATACCAAGCCCCCCTAATCTTACAGCACAGGTAGCGCAAACATTCTCCTGTGCAGGTCAGACACATTCCTACCAATAATTCCCGGAGTGAACTTTTCTCTTATACACTTCTCCAATGGGATGAAGAGGTCTTTAGTGTCTTGAATGGTACGCATCACAAAGGTACACCGATGACATAGGGCTTTGGTATATATAATACCCTGATAGGGCAGCCTGGGGTTCATCAAGGGCAATTTCTGACAACTCTTCTACATCCTTCACCCATTTCTCTACTTTCTTTTTTACATATGTCTCTCCAGCCTCCTCTCCACCTATGACTGCTCCCAGATGACGCTTCCCATCACATGTGATCTCTAAATCAGTATCTCCAAATAATTACGCAAATTGAAGGTCACGAAACTTTTCATTTACATTGGGAACGGTGCGATTACCAGCTTATTAAGCAAATACTGAAACTCGACTAACTTGTTTAAACACCATGATCATGACCAGGTCGAAGAGACCTGGTGACCATCTCATGCTCAAGGTACCATTTAAGAATAAAAAGTCCAAAGTTGATGACAGACGTTTCTCAAGCCATGCACCGATTGCATGGAACTCTCTTCCACTGATGTTGAGATGTATTACTGATGCCAACTGCTTCAAGCGAATGTTAAAGAACCATTTATATAATCAGTTTTGATGTTTTTTCTTTCCATTTGTCTTCTTTTTGCAAGACACCTTGGCTTTTATTTCTTACTGCACTCCATTTTATGTCTAAGTTCTCTACCTTTCTATGTCACTGTACTAACCTTTATTATACCTACATGTATTGTATGGTCTCTGCTTCTTTTTAGTTTAGTGTGGTTTAAAATAAAAGATTTTTTAATTTTGTCTTGGTCTTATATTAATATTACGTTATACTCTTGTTCATTTTTACACATTTGCTCACATCACTCACAGTCAGCCGCTCTGACATGGTTAACTACCTTCCTTGTGTTGTTGGTTAATCATATGAGCGGGATATAAATACCTCATTTCATTTCATTTCATTTCATTTCATTTCATTTCATTTCATTTCATT